TAATTTGTCTCTATTATGTCTCTATTTTATTTTACTTTCCGCTGATTTATTAATTTGTCTCTAGTATGTCTTTATTTTATTTTACTTTTCACTGATTTATTAATTTGTCTCTATTATGTCTCTATTTTATTTTACTTTTCACTGATTTATTAATTTGTCTCTAGTATGTCTTTATTTTATTTTACTTTCCACTGATTTATTAATTTGTCTCTATTATGTCTCTATTTTATTTTACTTTTCACTGATTTATTAATTTGTCTCTATTATGTCTTTATTTTATTTTACTTTTCACTGATTTATTAATTTGTCTCTATTATGTCTTTATTTTATTTTACTTTTCACTGATTTATTAATTTGTCTCTAGTATGTCTTTATTTTATTTTACTTTCCGCTGATTTATTAATTTGTCTCTATTATGTCTTTATTTTATTTTACTTTCCACTGATTTATTAATTTGTCTCTAGTATGTCTCTATTTTATTTTACATTCCACTGATTTTTAGGAATCAACATTCCCCTTTACATTCATATAGAATTTAAATTTTGCTTTAATTAAGCTTTTCAAAAGAAATGTAAGGCCCACAATTTCAGCATACCTTGAGGAGGCAAAATTTGCCTTTTATCTAGATGGTTTTTAAAGGAATAAGAAAACTGTTATTTCAGTGAGAGTTACTTCTCTTATCAGAGGGTCAGTGAGAGTTTTCTCTCTTATCAGAGAGTCAGTGAACCTTAATGATTTAAAGAACTTGGTATGGCTAGGATATAAAGAGTTATCTTTGACACTTCTTTCTTTGAAAACTTTTAGAAAGAACGTGAGATGACTAAAGGCAAGGGATGGTTTGGTATGAGAGCCCCAGAAATGACTGATGAAGCTAAAATGAATTTGGAGGTGCTGAAAATGAGAAAAGCACTGGATCCCAAAAGATTTTACAAGGGCAATGATATGAAAGGACTACCCAAGTTCTTTCAATTTGGAAAAGTTGTTGAATCAGCAGCAGATTTCTACCACTCCAGAGTGCCAAAGAAGAAACGAAAAGCAAATCTTGTTCAGGAGCTAATAGCTGATGCAGAATTTAGGAAGTAAGTAAACATTTTTTTTTTAGTTTCTGAACTGGTTTTAAATATAATAGATATCTGATTATTTTTTTTTAAATCAGCTGTGATCTTTTTAAAATTATGGTTAAAATATTGTTTTCAATACCTAACATCATGTCCCTACATTTTAGATTCAATAAAAGGAAATATGTCGAGATCCAAGAGGCCAAAATGAAAGGAGAGGGGCCATATAAACGAATGAAAAGACCTAAGAAGAAGAAAAAATAAATTTTATTCATAGTACTCAGACTTTGCTTTTTCCTAAGCAAGTAAAAGACATGTTAATGGGATGCAAAATTTCAAACAGAAATCATGATGTGTTTTTGATGAGGCATTAAAACTTGAAAAGAACATGCAATTAAAAGGCAGTTTACAAAGAAAGTTGGTTGCCCACATGGCGCAGTGGTAAGAGCGTTCGCTCTAGAGTTGCGGAGTAAGGAGTTGATCCTTATGTCGCAGGTTTGAATCCTACTGTGGGACTTGGAGAACGGTCCTTCGGAAGAAACCGTATAAACCAAGGTCCCGTGTCGCAGTAGGTGGTGGCATGAAAAAGATCCCTCGCTGCTCAATGGCCCTGAGTGCCGAGTATAGGTCAAATTTTGCAATTCTCCACAAGCAAGTGGTGGTGTCTCCATATGAGTGAAAAATTCTCGAGAGGGACGTGAAACAATAAACAAACAAAAAAAAGAAAGTTGTCTCCCTTGTAGAGGCAGGATAATGGCAAGGTCAAATTTGCTCTTTTGATTATGTCAACGGTTTCAAAAGAGGGGGGGGGGGGATTTCCAACAAAAAATCTGACAAACCAAAAAAAGTGCTCGACCTTACAGCAAAACAAAAAGAGGATGCAACCAGCATCTAAAGGAAAATTTACTTCAGCAAAATATTATACTCAGAAAAAGTGCCCCCCCCCCCCCTTGCGATCTACTTGTTAACGCTTCTGGTTTATATAATATCTTTGTAGTAAGGTCGTTAGAACTCTTTTGAAAGGTGTCTAGTCGGTAACATTGTCATTCCTATTGCTTACTAACCAGTCATCATGTCCTATCCATCTCCTGTAGCAAAGTAAGTTACTTACAGAAGTATAATTCTACATTCTCGAAGAAAAAAATGTACAAATGTAGGAAATGAAGACAAATCTGTATTTTTTTCCTTTAGAGTCTTTGGTATGTAGAAGGAATGGCATTTGAAATGATATACTTCATGATATAACACATTTTGCTTGGACTTGACACTTTTCGAAATACATGTAGTTGGCCGTAAATGAAAGTCAAGGTTAACAATGTCCTATCTGAGGAGTGGCATTTCTTAAAATTGTTCAAAGCGGAGGACTCCTGACATACATATTAGCTTTTCTTTTCTGATGGTGATTGACTAGGAAAATTGTGCATTATTATTGCAATACAGGTTAGTAGTTCAGTTTAAAGTTAGCTGAAATGATTTTTTCTTTTTTTTTTTTTAAATGATAGTCGAATTGCATATTATATATCTTGTCTATCTGTCATAATTAAATATATACCGTTTTTATTATTTAAAGAAACCAAAAATCAAAAGAAGTAACTCAAATAAAGGTCTGTTGGTGTTCAAAAAACATATTTACTTTGCTTCCGAAACGAAGCATACTTAAGAAACACAGTTTCTGATAAGTTCTAATCTAATTTATCACCCCACCCCATTTTCTTAAATCTAGACCATGCAGACCAGCAGAAATGTACGAAATGAGATCGAAATAAACCCAAATGAATGATACAAACAGATGCAGACACGAAACGAGATAGAGCAAACTTAGTTTCGTTTCTTAAAAACTTGAAGGTTAAACAGAATCCCAGTTCGTTGTATTGTAATTTGTATTTAGCTGATTTCATTTGACTTGAAGATGCATCAAATCATGTTTTCTTCTACCGTTATAAGACAGCGGACAGTAAATGTTCTATCCATGTCAGTCTGTTGGCTTTTGAAAACGATTCCACTAATTATTTATATTGGGGAGGGGGGGGGCAAATCTCAGGTTTATAGGTTGCAATTCCAATGAGATTTTTTTTACTCGGGGAGGGGGAAGGGGGGGGGAGGGTAAACTCTCTTCTCAAGAACATTTGTGGGGGATACATCTATACATTAACTTTGGAGGATTTTGCCTTCCTGCAACAAAAATTTGGGAGGGGTGAGGGGGAGCACAATTAAACAGCTTTTAATGGAAATTTCTATACTAAATCAACGGCAAAAGAAAAAAAGTGGGGGGGGGGGGGGGGCTCCCATCCTCCCTTGTTATCTTATGCTATGTGCCCGATTTTGATAATGTCAAAATTTATAACAAAAAATATAGGTAAAATTTGTGCATTGAAGTATACTTGCATGCATATCAACCGTCTAGAAAACAATGCCCCAAGCAGTTTTAGTAGATCTTTGGCAGGGCTGACAACTTTTACTAGCAGTCAACCCTGCATGTCTGCCTAATTTTGCTGTGAGTTTCAAACACTGGCCCCAAGATCTTTAAAAAAAAAAATAAACTGTAAGTTATGGAATTTCATATACGGCAGCCAACTGCTTACTGTCGTATATGGATTCCATAATATAAAAGTTCCCTTAAAAACAAAACACTAAAATTTCCGGACAAGAAAAATAACCCAACAGTTATTTTTAGATTGCGGGGGGGGGGGGGTACGGAACTTTAACGACAGAGAAATGGTTATAAGAAATTATTTCGTCTCAGTTTTCTAAATCTGTATGGAAAAATGGGGGAAGGGGGGGGGGTAGTAATAAACTCTTATTAGCGTCTAAGATAATCTTGGCGGATTAATTTATTAATAATAATATATTAGAAGCAATACGGGGAAAATCACAAATACTTTTGCATAAGGTAAATAACGTATATATTGTGACATCTTTACCCCCCCCCCCCTTTATCATAAATCACAAGGTATTTTACTCTATTCAAAAGTATTTGTGATTTTTTTAAATTTTCATATTGAAAGGAAATTCCTATGTAGGGGAGGTCGGTCAAAGGGACTGGTATATTATATAAATACTATTTAGAGAAGGTCCTGGGTAACACAAGCCATAATCAAATACACATTTATATAAAAAAAAATAAAAAAAAAATAATTTTGAAGCTATGCATTTTCTTTCAGAGGAAATACTTCTTCATTCTTCTTTCCCCTACAATTCTAGATCAGCTTTTTTGTCATTAACATAACCACAACAACATTGATTTAACTAAGCATCGTATTGAACAGCTGTTGAAGAAAAAACAAGTCAATTATATCATCAGTGGTGGTAGAAAACGGTAAAAAGTTGGCTGTCGTATATGGAATTTCCATAGGACTTGCCCCATCGCCCCTTCCTCCGCCTTTCCCGTTGAAAAATTCCCCAATCCGCCGATTTTTTTTTTATATTACTGTAATATATTGTTGCGATGATAGTGTTTATTCAAGCATGCATATAAAATTTTTTAAAAAAAGGCAATATACCGTCTATATATAAGCAGTGGCAGTAAGCAGTTGACTGTTGTATATGGAATTCAGAAATTTATACTTTGAAATATAAAAAAATGATATCAGAATTCAACTGAATTTTTCAACATCCAATTTTTTTAATATCAGAAAGTCATCAATGGTGCTCTGTGGCCTCATCAAAGTACAATGTACATATTGTAATTCTCTTCTGACCTAGCAAGTGAAAATGAATCGAACTATAAAAACAAGTTAGCCCGGCCAATGTTTTCATTATTTAATAATAAATAAGAGGCTAATGGTTGCAATCTCCTTTTTTATTTTCATGCGAGATTTTTATTTATTTACTTTTTTTTATTGATCTTTTTTTTAACAGAGTTTTACATTACTGAATACATTAATAAATCGGGATCGAGATTTATCGTTTGGCGGGAAACCGAAAGTATCCTCATCGGAGATACCAGATGACAGTCGATGCAGTCTGAGATGAAAACTCATTTAGTTTAACAGTAAGTGTTTTTTGTATTCGTAAGGATAACTTTCTTCGTGAACTGTTGGGTAGATCTGGCTTTGTCAGGTCATTGAAAGAATGATGGACCGATTCAGTGATTGTTAAGTCTTTGGATTTTAATACTAAGGCCCTTAGTCAAAAAGGACTGACAGGATCACTGGACTGCCCATTTTTAACATGTCTGCAAACCTGTCTAAATAAATATATCTATTAGCTAATATCTGTACTCATTGGTTAGCTTTGATCCTTTAGGTAAATCAAAATGAATGTGAAAGATGAATATGACAAGCAGTTTTTAAACCAATATCAGACGTTGTTTATGTCTGATAAACTGAGAAATGGCACACCAGCAGAGAAAGCTGACATATATCGCAGTCTCATGGGACAACTTCAACTTGCACAGAGGCATGGGAGGTATGCTATTTAGAGGTTGGGTAAGCCCAACTATTTAGCAGTTAAAATCTCATTTGGTGCTCAAGTCTACTTACTTTTATTTATCTTTCAGTACTCATTTTAGAGTGAATTTCATGCATTTTAATCTACTGTAACTAAAGTGTTTGAGTGAAATGAATGAGGGAATAATGATACATCGGTATATGGCAGTACACCAAAAAATTGTATTGCGGTACTAAATATGTGTACCTGTATATCCCGAGATATAACATTTTCAGCATTTTTACTCACCTGAAGAATTCTAAAAAAAAAAAAAATAAATAAATAAAAGTTGAAGTGTAGCACATATTTTCCCCATTTAAGTAAGCAAGTGATTTCTTTCTTTGTTGAATTTTTTCCAGGTGGTAAATGCCTGGTTCCTTGTGTTGAAAATAAAATAGATAAACTTAATATTTCACACTTTTATATTATATAATTTTCTGTATGTCCCCCATGCATATCTTAGTGTGTAGAGAGTCCTTAAGATTCAATGTGTTTTCATTAATTAAGGCTTCCCAGTGACAGCCATGAACTTCTTAGAAAAGAGTATTGGAAACCATATACAGCCATCGTGGATACACATAACACAGAACAAGGTAACAGTCTCAGCTGAATTAATACGCACATTTTGTATCTTATCAGTCTAATGATTTTATCCTCAAGTACTGTGCAAAGGCCATATCTTGAAGAATGTTTTATTTGTAGGCTTAAACAACTTTGCTGAGGGGGCATTATCAATCTGCAGTAAATACAGAAATGGTAAGAACATATGCTCATAATTTGTTTACATCTCAGGTTTGAAATAAACACTCTTAAATAAATTTATATGCATGAGGACTTGCAAAACTAATAACAAATGTATTCTCTAGTTCAGGAATCTTTGATCTGAAATATTTTATTTCATATGTAGAAAGCCAGAAATGGAGGAGTTCTCTGTCCCTGGAGAAAATCAAAGAAATGGACTGTTACAAGACATACCTAGCCAATGTCAAGGTCAGTGTTACAAGACTTACCTAGCCAATGTCAAGGTCAGTGTTACAAGACTTACCTAGTCAATTTCAAGGTCATTTTACAAGACTTATCTAGTCAATAGCTGAAATCAGGGTCAGTGTAACAAAAAATACCTAGACCAGTGCTACAAGACTTAACTAGGTAATGTCAAGGTCAGTTTTGTAAAACATGTTCATCTAATGGTGAAAAAAAAATGCAGTTCATAGGTTATATGTAAATTTTCTCTATTTAAGAGTTAATATTAATTTAAACCAACTTTTAGCTTTGTTAACAACTTATTATTTAGTTTACAAACTACATATTATGTAGTTAACAAAGCTTAACAAACATTGATCACCGTGGAATTCATTTTATTCTTGTCATGTATCGTGGAAATCAAATTTTTGGACCTAATTTCAGTGTAATAAAAATTTTTTTTTTAGAAATAAACCTTTAAGTTTGAATATTGTATACAAAAGTTCTACCTGTTTATGATTTAGGCTAAGAATGAGCAGTTACTGCCAGAGAGCAAGCAGTCACAGGTCATAATAAAGTCTAAGAACTCGATCATAGATTCTAGTGCTGTGGCTTCCCTAAAAAATCAGGGAAGGTCGACATTGTCCATGTCCAGTGGAGGTGGACAAGGATCCAATGGAGTCTTAAGCAGTGTTTCTAATAGCAGCCACAGTACCACAGAGAGCTGGAAAGGACATCATTCTACAACTAATAAAAATACAGAGGGGCACAGAGGTATAGAGTTTTGCTTGCTTGTTTTCCAACTTCATGTTTATATAGTGTGTATTTCTATTGATAGAACAGACAACAATAACATGGGGCATTTAATGGCATTTTGTTGCAGAATAATGATAAAACATTTAAAATGCTAACATACAGAAAGAAAAATAATAGACATAAGAATGTTTATAGTATTTAAAATATATGAATATTAAAAATATAAGTAAATACATGTAGTCACAAACATTTACAATAAGTAAAATAACAAATGAGATGTGCCATAATGAAATTATTCTGTCTAGTGCACAATCAGGTGAATGGAAACTTTTATCAAGCCCAGGGCAGACCTGATACTTCTAGCAGTAGTTCATTGTCAGTAGGGATTGCCAGAGGTCAGACCACTCAAGACAATGTCAAAATGTTTGGAAACAGTACTAGACAGTTTGCGAACAGAAAACCGCTGTTCGGAAATGGGGGGAAGATGTACGGAGAGAGAGAAAATACCCAGCCTCTTGGAAGACAATTTGGAGAAGAGAGGCCATTCCAGAACAGAAACATGAGAGAGGAGGTAGGTAAAATGGACTGCATTTGTTATCCTATGTACTATATACTAGGGTGTTATACTGAACACTGGGATATGTTATACTGAACACTGGGATATGTTATACTGTATACTAGGATGTTATACTGTATACTAGGGTGTTATACTGAACACTGGGATATGTTATACTGAACACTGGGATATGTTATACTGTATACTAAGAAGTTATACTGAACACTGGGATATGTTATACTGAACACTGGGATATGTTATACTGTATACTAGGATGTTATACTGAACACTGGGATATGTTATACTGAACACTGGGATATGTTATACTGAACACTGGGATATGTTATACTGTATACTAGGATGTTATACTGAACACTGAGATATGTTATACTGAACACTGGGATATGTTACACTGAACACTGGGATATGTTATACTGTATACTAGGATGTTATACTAAACACTGGGATATGTTACACTGAACACTGAGATATGTTATACTAAACACTGGGATATGTTATACTGAACACTGGGATATGTTACACTGAACACTGGGATATGTTATACTAAACACTGGGATATGTTACACTGAACACTGAGATATGTTATACTAAACACTGAGATATGTTATACTGAACACTGGGATATGTTATACTGTATACTAGGATGTTATACTAAACACTGGGATATGTTACACTGAACACTGAGATATGTTGTACTAAACACTGGGATATGTTATACTGAACACTGGGATATGTTATACTGTATACTAGGATGTTATACTAAACGCTGGGATATGTTATACTGAACACTGGGATATGTTATACTGTATACTAGGATGTTATACTGTATACTAGGATGTTATACTGAACACTGTGATATGTTATACTGAACACTGGGATATGTTATACTGTATACTAGGATGTTATACTGAACACTGGGATATGTTATACTGAACACTGAGATATGTTATACTAAACACTGGGATATGTTATACTGAACACTGGGATATGTTACACTGAACACTGGGATATGTTATACTAAACACTGGGATATGTTACACTGAACACTGAGATATGTTATACTAAACACTGAGATATGTTATACTGAACACTGGGATATGTTATACTGTATACTAGGATGTTATACTAAACACTGGGATATGTTACACTGAACACTGAGATATGTTGTACTAAACACTGGGATATGTTATACTGAACACTGGGATATGTTATACTGTATACTAGGATGTTATACTAAACACTGGGATATGTTATACTGAACACTGGGATATGTTATACTGTATACTAGGATGTTATACTGTATACTAGGATGTTATACTGAACACTGTGATATGTTATACTGAACACTGGGATATGTTATACTGTATACTAGGATGTTATACTGAACACTGGGATATGTTATACTGAACACTGAGATATGTTTTACTGAACACTGGGATATGTTATACTGTATACTAGGATGTTATACTGAACACTGGGATATGTTATACTGAACACTGGGATATGTTATACTGAACACTGAGATATGTTATTCTGAACACTGGGATATGTTATACTGTATACTAGGATGTTATACTAAACACTGGGATATGTTATACTGAACACTGAGATATGTTATACTGAACACTGGGATATGTTATACTGAACACTGAGATATGTTATACTGTATACTAGGATGTTATACTGAACACTGGGATATGTTATACTGAACACTGGGATATGTTATACTGAACACTGAGATATGTTATTCTGAACACTGGGATATCTTATACTGTATACTAGGATGCTATACTAAACACTGGGATATGTTATACTGTATTCTAGGATGTTATACTGAACACTGGGATATGTTATACTGAACACTGGGATATGTTATACTGAACACTGGGATATGTTATACTGTATACTAGGATGTTATACTGAACACTGGGATATGGTACACTGAACACTGAGATATGTTATACTGAACACTGGGATATGTTATACTGTATACTAGAATATGTTATACTGAACACTGGGATATGTTATACTGTATACTAGGATATTATACTGAACACTGGGATATGTTATACTGAACACTGGGATATGTTATACTGTATACTAGGATGTTATACTGAACACTGGGATATGTTATACTGAACACTGGGATATGTTATACTGAACACTGGGATATGTTATACTGTATACTAGGATGTTATACTGAACACTGGGATATGGTACACTGAGCACTGAGATATGTTATACTGAACACTGGAATATGTTATACTGTATACTAGAATATGTTATACTGAACACTGGGATATGTTAAACTGAACAGTTTTCACCCTTACTTGTACTGTATACTGTTACATTTAACCCCCAAAACGTTCTGTTGGTGAATTCATTTTCTAATGTGTCTGGACAAAAACGAAACTGAACTAAATTTCCCTGTACACAGGAGAATGGTTTATGGACATTAGTTGCTCAAGTGCTCTTGCAAAATAGTATTGAACTTTGCTTAAAAACTAATTTTCTTAAAAATCAGTAAGTTTAAGTCTGTTCTCTCTTCAATGCACCTAAGTAAATACGAAGGAATTCTTGCTTCTTTCTGTTTATATAAGGCTGTCTCCCTGAAGAGGCCATTTATGGAAGATGAGGATGAAAGATATGGTGGTGTGGAACAAAACAATCTACCTAATTTTTCTGGCCCTTTTAGAACAGCCAAAGAACAACTAGTAAGCACTTTCTATTGAAAACACTTCTGTTTAAAAGAATTTGGCTTATTTTGTAGGGGTGAAACGATACACCTCCTTCACGGTTCGATACGTATTGTATAATTATGTCTCGGTTCGGTTATTTTCGATACGATACATTTTGATAGAAGGAAACAAATTCAACGTTGTTTTGTGCTTTCTTTTTCTAAATCTAGTCACATATTTTACGAATTTTATTTGCAAATTGACTAGAAGAAATTGATTAAAATTATTTGACTGTCAAAAATTATTTTACAAGCTATCAGTCATCAAAAATTTACGTTTTCTATACTTATTTATACCGAGTAACGTGTTTTACCTTATGCCAAACCCGACTGAATAACGATCTCGACCGAAAAATGAACCGAACCGAAAATGAGAGATTTTGCACCGTGTATCAAACCGAGAAAAAATACCGCGGTGAATCGATACCGCGGTGAACCGTTTCACTCCTATTATTTTGATTATCCATGGCAATTAGAAATAATTTAATTTTGTTTGTATTCTAGCCTCTGATTGGTTTATATCCAAAAAGGAACACAAATTATTTCTGTATAACCTGGTTTGGTATGGGGACACACCCCCTGACAACCAGCTGAATCGTCTGTATCCATGCAATCCTCTCATTTCCAGTCCTCAGGATTCATGGAAAATTCCAGATTTAATAAATGTACCTTTAACTTCAAACAGTAACTCGGATCTTACCACATGTAAACAAACAACATGGCTGCTAGGACTTTGTATCAGTTTTTACCTCCCCTCGCTTCCCATCACTTCCGTTACTACGGTTGTATTATGTATTATTGAGCAGCAAATTTGAACTAATAAAAAGCAACGAAATTTTACAACAACAGTTGTTTAATGATTTTAAAATTAAATTATAAGGAATGACTCTAATTCTTGGCCAAATTATTCGAGTATAACCTGGTTTGGGTCAGTTTATGCTCTTTTATAATCAGCTTTGTGGATTATAAAGCGTAAACTGACCCAAACCAGGTTATACTCGAATAATTTGGCCAAGAATTAGAGTCATTCCTAAAATCTATATGTCCATTTCAACAGAATATTGATAACCAGAAAAAATATGGCAGAGGGCGTGGTCAGGTATCCACTGCTTCCTACGGGGCCACCAAAAAGTCTCTAGGACCTAGGTCAGATCAATCTACAAAAAGGAAATCCTTAATAATCAAATGAATTTCAAAAATTCTTGAGTTGATAATATAGCACATTATGAACTTTTTACTTTTGTGTAAGAAATTTAATGTGTGGATTATTTTCAGACGAGGCACAAGCAGTAAATTTGTTCCTCCAGTGATGAACAGAGAAGAAAATGAAGAGTAGGTGTCTAATTTCTTACTACAAGTCTGTTGACTAAAGTAAAGATTTGACTTGAAAAGAAAAAAAACATCCTTAGTAAAGGTTTCTTAGAAATAATGAATTTTTTGATACCAGGAATGAGGATGTTGGAATAAAGGCCATCACGAGATCTGTCCTTGGTAAGAACGGAGAGAAGAATGAAGAAGTGACAGATGAACGACTGAAAGGAATAGAGCCCAAAATGATAGAACTTATTATGAATGAGGTAATCTGTAAAATGTTTACTAAATAGATAAAAATAGTTTGTTTATACAATGTATTGTAAAAACAATGAATTCTTGTTTAAAACAAATTTAACAATTTTCACAAGAAGTGCAGATTAATGAACTCTGGATTAAGTAGAGTGAATTAAATACTAACAGTGCATTATGCTCAATTTGTCATAATTGGATAATCATTAAAACATTTTCAGTTTCCAAAAGTGAAGACTTATCGAAAATTTTCTTGGAGGAGTAGGGGCATGAATGCTTCTATTTTACCTATACATATCTGAAAAATGTTTACACCCCCTCTGACCAATGAGGAAATTCATGTACAATGTACTAGATATGACACTCCATTACATTGGATATCCTCTTTGATCCAGATAATGGATAATGGCCCACAGCTGTCCTGGGATGATGTAGCTGGCCTGGAGTTTGCCAAGAAGACCATCAAAGAAATTGTGGTGTGGCCAATGTTAAGACCGTAGGTGTCAGAAATGGAAACACATGCAATTCTAATTTACAGAAATTAATACAACCGAATTTGTATCAGTTGAGATATACCACTGACATTGTTTAAAATGTTAATATATATCCCTTAACTGAAGTTAATGCAGGCAATTTGAAACATTTTAAGAATATTTACATGTACCTGAATGCGGTTAACCAATACCGGGCCCCAAGACCATAAACTGAAAATAGACTAAAGTCAAAGTTTTGATTTTTAATACATGTGTATCTTGAGTTTTCTTTAATGTATTTGCTTAAAAATTTGCAATTTTATATAACATTTAAGTTCAAATATATGACGAAAATTTTGTTTCAATATCAAAATTATTTCAAAAGTTATACTGGTTTGAAATTTTGACTTAAGTCTGTTCTCAGTTTATGGTCTTGGGGCAGGTAGTTGTTATGTGTTTGGGAGGCATTTAAGCATCAAGTCACAGATAACAACTACAGTTTACAAAGAATGTTGTGTGTCTTGTGTCTCTACTTGATTTGATTGGTCTTTACTCTTTCAGTGATATTTTTACTGGTCTTAGAGGTCCACCAAAGGGTCTGTTATTATTTGGGCCACCTGGCACTGGCAAAACTCTGATAGGTAAGTGTAATTCATTCTTACAAGATAATTTCTAAATATCTAATTCAGTGTGTGGTTTTTAAACTTGAACACTTAATTAATGCTTTAATAATGAAATTGTGTTGTTGATTTTCAGGTAAATGTATTGCAAGTCAGTCCAAATCTACATTCTTCAGCATCAGTGCCTCCTCCTTGACCTCTAAATGGGTAAACAATACACAACATCTGAAATTATCAAATGCTTTAAATCTGTTCCTCAGTTTTATAAATTTTTTTTATTCTAATCTTTATGTTAGCTTCTACTTTGAAGTGCTCATTTTTTATTTCATAAACCTGTTGTTATTGCCATATACTGTAGTAAGGTGTCTGTTGTTTGCCTGTAAACAATTTTCAAATTGCTACTCCTCCTACAGTTTTAGTTCGTTTCAATGTCACTTTGTGCACAAGAAGACTACACTAAGATAAATAATTCCATATATCAATTTTTGTTATACATGTATTTGTGAACAGTGTTGCCGTAGTTACTAAAACCAGAAATTCTTGTGAAATTCTTTCAAAGACGCTACTCCTCCTACAGTTTTGGTCTTATTTCAATAAAATTTTGTACACAAGCAGACCTCACTAAAATACTTAATTCTCTACATCAGTATCTGATTTCAATGAGTTACCAAAATAAAAATTTCTGTGAAATTCTTTTACGTTTTGTGTAGGTCTGGTCTGATTTCTAAAAATTTTTTTTACACAAGTTAGACTATACCGTGGTTAATAATTCTGTTCATTGATGTCAATTTTGGTTTTGCCATGGTTACTAAAAATAAATATTTTCTATGAAGTTTTAGTCAGATTGCTATAAAACTTGCCACACACAGAGACTAAACCAAGGATCATTATGTATTGCTATACGTTGTTCATAGTTTCAAATCCTAGTACATGTACTTTGTTCTTAGCACAAATCTGCAGAGCTGCAGTCTCGTTAGACTTTTATTTTGTTGAACAACAATTTTCCTTGTTTTCATGATAAAACTAGACAACAAAATTAAATGATCAACAAACTATAAATATTACTAATTATAGGACAGGAAATGGTAGCTGTTCACAAATATAAATATCAATGAAAATGTTTTCTTTATAGCAAAAACCTCAAAATTTATTCCCCACAAAAATTAATGAAACCATATACATGTATACATTTTTATGTGTTACTGATCATTTCAATTGAAAGTAGTTTATTCATTTCTCAAACATGATACCATCAACATTAACCTCAGCAACAACAAATTAGTTAATATTCAGTCTTTTTTTCTGAGTTCACAAATCATCTTTACTTGTAAAAGTTCGTTAACAATGAGGGATATTACACTTAATAATGCTGACTGTGTTTTTTCTGGTTTGTCAGGTAGGAGAGGGGGAGAAGATGGTGCGAGCGATGTTTGCTGTGGCGCGCTGTCACCAGCCAGCTGTTGTGTTCATTGATGAAGTGGATTCCCTGTTGTCTCAGAGGTCGGACGGTGAACACGAGGCCTCCCGCAGAATCAAAACAGAGTTCCTGATACAACTGGTAATGCCAGAGCTCAACATAAATGTTTATTCTCTTGTCCAGTTTCAGTGATAATTTTTCATGGACAAATGAATATTGCAGGGCATTTATAGTCAAGTGATTTGTCTGTAATTTTTTTTTTTTTGAAGTTGAAATGTTGAACTTTGATTAGTTGCATGGATCTAATGAAATTTGGGTTTTCAGTATCTGGTAGGAAAGCTGTAACATGGGAAAACAAGGGTAATAAAAAGAATTAGAGAAAGATGGCAAATAGATGTTTGATGTATGTCTTTTTGTTGCTATTTTTATAGTACATGTATATTTTATATAGCATTTACTGCTACTTAGGACAGGATAACTTGCAATATGTTTCAAAAACTCATATAACAGATTCAGTGAATATATTATAGATTGAAAAGGGTCTTTTCAAGTTGTCAAATAGTTCTTTATTGAAATATTTTCAGACAAGTAAAAGTAATGTTTGGAACTTTTTGGAAAAGTAAATTTCATAGTCACTTGTCCAAGTGGACATGTATGAAAAACCGTTAATGTAGAGCCCTGAATGCACAGTTATGTCACCTCTACCAATACTGGTAACCTGTACTAGGAAAAAAAATGTCCTGCAACAAAAATCAGCTTTGCATAACAACTTGCAAATATGTTTGCCAAACAATGAGGGCACTTTGTATACTGATAAGACACCAATATTATATCCTTATTGTTGAAAAGTTATGAATTTGTACCTCATGATGTCTCAGGTTTACTTAATGTAACAAAAGTGTTTGTTGTTGTAGTTCTTGTGTTGTATAATGTGTAAATGTAATTATAGGATGGAGCTGCCACGCTGTCTGATGAAAGAATTCTAGTCATAGGAGCTACCAACAGGTCAGGAAAAATTTGATGTGTAAATAATCCAGTAAACTCTTTCACTCTCAGTTCCTGATCCAGCTTCAAAACTTAAATTATTGGTAAATGTAGAATAAAATGGAGAGAGTTTGCATTTGTACATGTGGATTGCACATTCAATATTTGATCTGTAATTGAAGTTTTCTTCGATCAGGCCCCAGGAAATAGATGAAGCTGCAAGACGAAGATTTGTGAAGAGACTTTACATCCCCCTTCCAGAAGGTGAAGCTCGTAAACAGATTGTCCTGAATCTTCTCTCCCAGCAGAAATATCAGCTGACAGCGGCTGAGTTAGATGCCATTCAACAGCAGTCTGAAGGTCTGGGAGAAAGAAATGATATCCATTTTGTTGGATTTTTATTTATAATAATACAGCCTACTTCGGACATACTGAAATTGAACCAACAATTTTATCAATGTGACCAAAGTTCAAAATAAACAAAATTGGCCTTTGAAAACTTTCTGAAATCCTAATCCTGATCTAAAACACGTAGATAAATCAGAATTAATTACACAGCTAAATTTATGACACTTTGTTCATTAAAGATTCATTTGTAAAAAGTCCAACATTTTTCAAACTCGGTATAGTTTCTTGATTTTATTCTTTATCGGTAAGGCCAATAAAAATTAATAGTTTCTCAGGTCAAAAATTTCAAAATTCAATGCGGCAGGCAGGTTCTTTTTTTTTGAAGCAGGTGTGATATACCTTTTTTTCATGTCAACAAAATGATGATATCAACTGATTTTTACTTTTTTGTACTCTTACATTAATTATAATATGTATTCAACTTTAAATAATGTTATTTTAAACATTTGTCAAAAAAGTAAAATCTACTTGTATAATTATGATGTCACCAACCATGATAACAACTGGCTAGGAGGACTTCAGTATAACCGTTATAAAAACAACTCATTATCAGGTCCGTGGACTGATAATTTACTTCAAAATAAGGAATATTTCAAACTAAGTGATTACAATATAAGTGGAGTAGGCTGTAGTAACATTGGGGGAAAATATTTTTAGAATACTTGGGCATTTATAAAACCTCATTATATGTATATACTGTAGAAGCACAATTAAATTTTCGTGGGGCTAAAATTTCGTTGATTTGTCATCTAAAATGCTTTCGTCGGCATTAAATTTCGTTGCTTAGAAAGAAACCCTACTCATTATATAGTCATATAAAGATTTTGTGTGGGATTTAATTTCGTTGATAATTGTTAACAACGAAATTTTATCCCCAATGAATATTTCTGCTTTTACAGTAATTATATATAAAATTAATGATGTTCTTTAGTTTACCAATCTTGCTTGCCAGTTATTTTTTTGTTTAAGCAGTAAAAGCTAATTATTTGGGTTCCAACTCTGCATAATGTAAAAGTTTTAAAATGTTTTACCACAGTCTCAAAAAAAAAGGTGTGCTATAGTGATTAGAGAATACAATAATTTGTGTATTTACAGGATACTCGGGGTCAGATATGTCCTATCTATGTAAGGAGGCAGCTCTGGGTCCCATCAGATCCATGGCATTTGGGGACATTGAAAACATTACTGCGGAGCAGGTATATAAAATAAAGGCATTCAGAACACTTTATTTCCATGTAAGGGTTTTTGCATGGCTTGACAAGGGGGTGCTTGTGTGCCCAAGGCAATCTGAAACAATGCACTTGTTGCATGGTTCTTTGTTTCTTGATTAAATGATCAAATCTATCAGGGTAGGATGACTAAAGCCTGTAATTAGGTGAATAATTACTTGTTTTACATTGATTGGTCCAATAGTTAATCAAAAAGATGTGTGCAGACATCAGTTTTGTACCATGGACATTTTTAATGGAAACCTTTGGTTGGTAGAGTAGTAAGTGTATTTTCTACTGACCAGTGGGTTAATCTTGTTAGAGAAATGACTGATAAGCTGTAGACTTGTTATATTTATCATGATTACTTTCAGGTTCGACCTATTCTGTATGAAGATTTTGAAGCAGCCTTTCATCAGGTTAGAGCCAGTGTTTCTGAAAAAGACTTGGATCTGTATCTGGAATGGGATAAGACATTTGGAAGTACCAGTAATCGAAAATAAACCTGATTTATTTTGAGTGACAGGTTCAAACAGTTACCATTTAAGTGAAAATCATGTGGTCAAGATCAGTCTGAGAAATAAATGAAAATGTCCACATTATCCTATGGAAAATATGACTGATTTTTCTATTTGATTCATGTAGGACTTGGCAAAAAAGGGGCTGCTGTAAAGTATTTTTAATGCAAAGAAATTGGATGTTTTGAAATACATTGTATTAAATGTATATAATAATAAAACCAGGGAAAGTGTTTCTCTGAATGTTTGTCAGTTTTTGAAAAGTTACCAAGAGAGACCATTTAATCTACAGGGCCAGTAACATACTATACTTGATTTCATGTTATCACTTTATATAAAAAAGGGAAAAGGGAAATGATATCACGTCATCCTGATTATTTACACAGGGTCAAACTGACAAACGTTCCGTATTTTCAAAAAAGTCCTTGGATTCATTCAACAATAATAATTCTTTAATAAAAATTTTATCAGGATCATTTATGAAGAGTTTAGTTGTGTTTCACAAACTCGATAACCTGTCATGCAAGTTGGTGTAGTTTAAGTCCACCACTAAATTCGTGCAACACATTATCCAAGATTTAACATGGCTATGATTGATCAAATATGTTTTTCTAAAACATTTATTGCTGATCCTGCTCTGCCTTCCAACTTGCATTTGGATTCCCAAAATTCTCAGCTCTACAAATTGGAGAAATGGGATGTAATAATGGCCTAAAATGAAAGGAAAAAAAAAAAGGTTTTCTTAAAGTCTGAAGCTACAGTTTATGTTTACCAGCTTTGGAAATCCTTCGAAACTGAATAGAGATCAGGACTGAGTTGCTCACATGTTATCTCTGTCAAATTTTTACCAGTGAACAAGGGCTTTAACAAATGGTTTAACCTTTGCAAAGGTTTTGAGCAACCCAGTCCAGTCCCAGATGAGACCTGACAGGCTGAGGTACTGTGTCACAGTTATCTGCTGATGTCAACTACAGGTCTAAATTTGAAGCCTTCCACTATTATCATACCTCATTAAAGTAATTCTGTAAATTGCATTATCTGACTGGTCTAGACACTCGTATGACAAAAAGAATAAGACATTGAGCATCCCAGAGAGAACTAGAAATCTGTCCATAGGACATGAATGCCCGATCGAGGGTATATTAGTAATGCAACATGAAAATTTGTATTAGTGTATGAAATTTGAAGAGAATATCTTGAATAGTTTCTTTAAAATTGAAATCTAAAAAGTTTGATATAGATGATAAATTCTCACCAAATTATGTATAAGTGCATAAGCTTACATAAATATATCTTAAATGGTTTCTTTAAAATTAAGCAAAATGCAAATTTAAGAAAAGTGAGGTCATGGTCCCAGAAAAGTTCAAGGTCAAACATTTTTTATGCAGTTGAATATTTCTCATAAATACGTATCAGCATATTAAGTTTGATAAAAATATTTTGAATGGTTTATTTAAAACTGAGCTAAACACTAATTTAAAATAAATGAAGTTAAAGTCAAAGGAAAGGTCAAGGTAGAAAATGTTGATGCAGTTGAAAAAGTTACATCAGTATATATCAGCATATGAAGTTTGACACTAATTTAAGAAAAGTGAGGTCAAGGTCAAAGGAAAGTTCAATGTGAAAAAATATTGATGTAGTTGAATAGCTTACATCAGTATGTATCAACATATGGAGTATGACACTAATTTAAGAAAAGTGAGGTCAAGGTCAAAGGAAAGGTCAAGGTCAAAAATTGTTGATGCAGTTGAAAAGGTTACATCAGTATGTAGTAGATGTGAAGTTTGATAAAAATATTATAAATGGTTTCTTCAAAATTGAGCTAAACACTAATTTAAGAAAAGTGAGGTCAAGGTCAAAGGAAAGGTCAAGGTCAAAAAATATTGATGCAGTTGAATAGCTCTCATCAGTATGTATCAGCATGTGAAGTTTGACACTAATTTAAGAAAAGTGAGGTCAAAGGAAAGGTCAAGGTCAAAAAATGTTGATGCAGTTGAATAGCTCTCATCAGTATTTATCAGCATATGAAGTTTGATTACACTATCTTGAATGGTATCTTTAAAACTGAGCTAAAAACTTAACTAAGAAAAGTGAGGTCAAGGTCAAAGGAAAGGTCAATGAAAAAAAATATTGATGCAGTTGAATAGCTCTCGTCAGTATGTATCAGCATATGAAGTTTGTTAAAAATATCTTGAATGGTTTCATTAAAACTGAGCTAAACACTAATTGAAGAAAAGTGAGGTCAAAGGAAAGGTCAAGGTCAAAAAATGTTGATGCAGTTGAATAGCTTACATCAGTATGTATCAACATATGAAGTTTGATTACACTATCTTGAATGGTATCTTTAAAACTGAGCTAAAAACTTAACTAAGAAAAGTGAGGTCAAGGTCAAAGGAAAGGTCAATGAAAAAAAATATTGATGCAGTTGAATAGCTCTCGTCAGTATGTATCAGCATATGAAGTTTGTTAAAAATATCTTGAATGGTTTCATTAAAACTGAGCTAAACACTAATTGAAGAAAAGTGAGGTCAAAGGAAAGGTCAAGGTCAAAAAATGTTGATGCAGTTGAATAGCTTACATCAGTATGTATCAACATATGAAGTTTGATTACACTATCTTGAATGGTATCTTTAAAACTGAGCTAAACACTAATTTAAGAAAAGTGAGGTCAAAGGAAAGGTCAAGGTCAAATTGTTGATGCAGTTGCATAGCTCTCATCAATATCTATCAGCATATGAAGTGTGATAAAAATATCTCGCATAGTTTCTTTGAAACTGAGCTTTGAACAGAGCTAAACACAAAGTGTGACGGAAGGACAGAAGACGGACATGACAAACACTATATGCCCCGGCCATATTCATGGCGGGGCATAAAAATCATATTCCCCCAATTCAGAACTCTCATTTTCTTATTGAGAATACTTAACAGACATAAAAATCTGCCTAAGGATGGTACCACATTCCTCATGCCCATTTAGAACAAGTTAATATCTTTTACTTGATAAATAAAACCCCATGAACAGTTAGAAAAGCACAGAGCTTGCAGTAAAATGTCTGATGACTATTAAATGAAAGTGAATATGAGAGCAGTGATAAATTTGTAAGTTTGTTTATTTTTAAAAATTTGGCTTGATTTGGAATGATAATTTATTGCATGACAGTTTGAGAGATATGAAGATTTCTGTCTGTCCATCACACTTTGTGATTAGCTCAATTTCAAAGAAACTGTTCAAGATATTTAACCAAAAACTGATAAATTTTGATGAGAACTATTCAATTGTGGCATAATTTTCTAACCATGACCTTCTCTGTGTCCTTGACCATACTGTTCGTAATTTTGTGTTTAGCTCATTTTTAGCTCACCTGAGCTGAAAGCTCAAGTGAGCTTTTCTGATCACCCGTAGTCCGTCCGTCTGTCCATCCGTCCATCTGTAAACTTTTCACATTTCCAACTTCTCAAGAACCACTGGGCCAATTTTTACCAAAGTTGGTACAAAGCATCCTTGGGTGAAATGAAATTTAAATTGTTAAAATGAAGGGCATAGTCCCTTTACAAGGGGAGATAATCAAGAAAAGACAAAATAGGGTGGGGTCATTAAAAAATCTTCTCAAGAACCACTAGGCCAGAAAAGCTAAAACTTATATGGAAGCATCCTGTGGTAGTGTAGATTCTAAATTGTTCAAATCATGACCCCTGGGGGTAGGATGGGGCCACAATAGAGAATCAAATTTTTACATTGAAATATATAGGAAAATCTTTAAAAATCTTCTCAAGAACCACTGAGCCAGAAAAGCTGAAACTTATGTGGAAGCGTCCTGGGATAGTGTAGATTCTAAATTGTTCAAATCATGACCCAGGGAGGTAGGGTGTGGCCACAATAGGGAATCCAAGTTTTACATTGAAATATATAGAAAAAATCTTTAGAAATCTTCCTCTTAAGGACCAGAGAGCCAGAAAAGCTGAAACTTATGTGGAAGCATCCTGGGGTAGTGTAGATTCTAAATTGTTCAAATCATGACCCCTGGGGGATAGGGTGGGGCTACAATAGAGAATCCAAGTTTTTACAATGAAATATATAGGAAAAATCTTTAAAAATCTTCTTCTCAAGAACCACTGGGCCAGAAAAGCTGAAACTTATGTGGAAGCTTTCTGAGGCAGTGTAGATTCTAAATTGTTCAAATCATAACCCCCAGGGGTCGAGTGGGGTCACAATTGGTATTACAAGGGGGAAAATCTAATTTAAGTAAGTGAAGCTTTTGAACTGTGTCCTAGATATTTTTATGTAAGCTTATGCACTTACAGTGTATACATAATTTGGTGAGAACTTATCATCTATATCCAATGTTTTGGATTTCAATTTTAAAGAAACTATATTCAAGATATTCTCATCAAATTTCATACACTGAGACACATTTTCATGTTGCATTAATTATACTTATATACCCAGGATGAGGCATTCATATCCTATGGACATATTTCTAGTTTGGTAAATAAACAAAAATATGAAATGCCTTGATTTATCAGGAGTTGTGTAGTGTAGTGGTTTAGTCTTGAAGGAAAATGATATACTCAGGATTTTTATTGCTAACGTAGGGTTCAAACCCCAAGTCAATACCACTGTAACATTTTTTTAGTAGTAGAATAATTTGTGCCGAGAAAATTTTCCACAGAAAAGTTTTTTTTTTGTCATAATTTCATAAATTTCTATAGTAGTATTAAAGCTAGAACTTTACTCTAAATACTAAATTCACAAAATGCATGAATATGATTTTAATATATCTGATTCAGAAGTTATAGGCATTAATTCTGCATGTCTTGTTCAGCCATATTCTTTGTATACTGGTATCAAGTGTTGAGAGCTATATATTTATATATATAAATATTATATTATAGTCTGTAACAGGGCATTGGTGTCCAATAGATAATTTTTTTAAGAAGCTCCACATATGCGTAATATCTATTATTAGATTGCGAAAAGTATTCCGAAAGTAGGTTCAAAATAGTTTGGGAAATCCTCATCACTCTATGCTAGAGAAGGATAGAGAAGTTCCGAATGTCAAATTCCATTTCTGGCAAAGATAAGCCAATGGGAATGGATCTTACAGAGTCAATGTTATCAACAATCATGTGATGAATGTAATGGAGGCCCGTAGTAAATATGGCATTACTTAAAATTTTTCAGAATCGTAAAATAGGAAGAAATTCTGGACTCTTCGGCAAATATTCAGAAAGAGGAAAAGAGTAAGTATTTGTAGAATTATTTATTTTGAGGTCGTATTTTCATATTTTTTTTAATGGCTAACAAAAAGTCACTTAGTTCCCTCGTGAATCTTTGTCAAGGAGCAGTGTTATACGAGTCATTGGACATTGTTTACATTTTATGTTTATAATTCTCTTAACAATGAAATTATCATCCTCTGGTAATCTGGAAATGAACACAAAATTTTCGTGAAGTATCGAAAGTATTTGAAAGCAGCTTCATCTTTCGGTGTGTATTAGTGCGTGTGTTGAGTAACGTAAACAGCGGGCTGATTGTTTACAGGCCAGCTGATAAGCATGTGACCAGTTCACATGAATATGGATCACAATGTACCCTGTACATAGCTTACACATCACTGCCCACGAACTGCAGAATGAAAGAATTCATTCCAACTTAAAGAGTATATCTTGTGATTTTTAATTTTTATTACCAACCATGGGACTTTTAGCTAATATTACCAGTGGAACTAATGTGACAGATTTGTGGATCACTAACAAATCTATATTCAGGAAAAGGTAAATTATCAGTTCCTGTAATGTAATACTGACTCCGAAGTGTGCATGGAGGTCTATATAAACCCTTATTTTCACTAACTCTTTTGCAGGGCAACCCAGTATAGTGTGGCAAAATATTAGTTGGCAGATATTATATATTATACCACTCTCTACCATCGGCTCATACATTCACCTCTGTCGTTGGCTCGCGTATATCACAGTGATAAGCACAAGAAATAGTGCGTTTGTTTTAATTCATTATGATTAAATGTCTAAGCTAATGATAGTCCTTAAGGAAAGATATTTACTAAATAGATCTAAAACTATTAGTTTAATTTGAAATAATCCTTGAAATATTATGTTTTTTACGTTATGTAAAAAATCTTGAGGTGAGCCCATTGCAGAGGTGTCTGAGAAAAGAACGAATGACAACTCTGCATAGGAGATTGATATTATACCTGCACTTTCTAAAGAAAGTTTGTGTATATTATCTGTCACACTTTCTTCATCCTGTAATTACTCTTACAGAGTTTTCATTTTCATCTTGGGGGCCAAATGGCAGTTGAAAAAAACTTTTTTCTGTAATAACCTGATTTCCCAAACTCCTTACATTTTACGCAGTAGCCAAATCTTATTTCACCAGATGAATGGTGGTGTCCTTTAGATGTGCAGTAAGGTTCTGGAGTTTTCATTTTAACCCCTGGGGTCGAAAAATGGTGTCATTACATTTTGCAAATCATCTTTTGGAAGGTATTTGGTGGTGTCCTGTATATGTGCAATAAGGTTTAGGAATTTTCATTATCACTCTGTGGGCAAAATGAGGGTCATATTAAAATGCCTTTTTCATTTTACAAAAACCTGATACCAAGAACTCCTCATACATTTTACATAGTATCCATTTCATCTTTTGTAAGATGTGCAATAAGGTTTCAGAATTTTCATTTTCACCTTTGGGGCAAAATGGGGTTAAAAAAATTTAGGTTTTCAAGTTCCAATTTGGGCTGATTTTTTTTCTTCTCTTTTTTTCTTTACATTTTTTTTTTCTGGAACTCTCTCTTAAAATCAGAATTTACTTCATCACAGTCTTTTATAATTTTATATAATTTCAGAATGGTATATGAATTCATTATTTGAAATATGAACATAAGAGTCCTATGGTCACATGCTCACCTGTGCATTTCATGCTCAGTTTGATACATGTATACACACTTTATGTAAATTATAGAAAAAAATTGTGGCTTCTTCACTACTTAGGTACAAGGGAGCTAGGGTACATTTAGAGGCAAACACCTACTGGTATTACTGTATTGTGACAGCATCTAATTAACAATGCTGTAACATAATTTTTCACCACACTGTATCAACTTGCTCAGCAAAAGAATAGTACATGTACTGCAGTTATTGTGAAAAATAGTCTTAGGCTCTTAGGCTAGCTCTTGGTATTAATGCAATTTGAGTGGCAATTAATATCATTTAGTGTAAGTCTAAATTTAATTAATGAAATATATAATCAGGTATTTCATATGGCAAAAAAAAAAAGGAAACTAAACAAACTTAAGTAAGATGTAAACATAAAAAAAATGCGTAAATTGCATTAGAATGATATTTTAATAACTATCATAAACTATGCATAAATTGCATTAAAATGGGAACAACCATCTTGTTTGTAATTTTGCGACTGTTCAACCCTCTCGGTTTGCGACCTGTTAAATCAGAATTAATGTTAGCAAATAAAAAAGAGAAGACAATTATTCTCATAGTTAATGCTGATATTCATACATCTCTTCTAAATCACTGGGCTGTCTTTGTGCTGCCATAGGATGGAATTAAGATTTCAACATTTTGGAAAGCCAATTAAGCCATTAGATGAAATAGTATTTAGACTTTAACTTACTGTATATCTAATCAGGGAACCTGTAGCATTCTGTGATTTTCTGCTATGGGCACCCAAAATTATTTAAAAGGAACAGAACATAATATCAGAATCCTGTTGATAAAATAAATAAATAAATACTAATTTTATTGTCATAAATTTGTTTTATTTTTCATTAAGGGCATTGATAAATAACCATATCAGTGGTAGAAATGAGGTTCTACTTCAGAGAGCGTAAGCATTAATGCCTTTATGTACACAACCATCTATAGAAACACAATGACATTCATCTAACAGCATTCACCCCATCTCCAGTCCAGTATCTAACAGCATTCACCCCATCCCCAGTCCAATATCTAACAGCATTCACCCCATCCTCAGTCCAATATCTAACAGCATTCACCCCATCCCCAGTCCAATATCTAACAGCATCATCAATCCGTTTATCTAACCTTCTTCTTCCTTCTTCCCCTGCTGCACATCCTTAATTCATGCAAATAAACCTCAGCCATTTCAACAAAAAGATAAAAATAAACTTTTCATACATACCAAGAGATTAAGTTAAGGCATACATGCTACATTTTTTTTTTGAATGAAATAAAAGCATTTATTTTATATTTTTATATTTTTCTAACTTTGTTAGAAATAACCAAAATGTATACAACATCACATAGATATTGATTTATGGTCATTTATTTTCAGGTTTCTGTATCAATAAAAATTGACGTAATAACTTGTATTTATGACAAAGTCTTGTATTAAAGTTTATTATTAGACTGATATTAGATAAAAAAAAAATAACAATTTCCAACGACAGTCGTACTGTTGGATTTTTTTTTTTTACCTAAAAAGTACAACCTGTTTAGTATAACAAATGTGCAATCTTTATTAGTGATAGAATAACTAAAATTGTATATTTTCGGAGACCAGTTATGAGGGAGTCATAGGATATGAAACAGATGTCGGAGATAAGTTTTTGTATACCGGTAACTAAAAGTACAGAGAACTTTTACCTGAACATGTTATCAAGCTTTAAATCGGCCAATCAATGAAGGGCAGTGGGCAGATACTTTATGTAAACAATTAGTAAGGTATTTTTATCACATCAGTGTTTCATAAGTAATGTTAGTATTCAGGCTCATGTTCAAGTTATTATTTAAAATCTTGATGCTGCATGGTAAATTCAAAGGGACAATGCCATGAAATTATATTTTGACATTAAAAAATTCATTAAATGCACTTGTACATAGAAATGAACACCATGTAATCAAAAAAGAAAAAGATTGTACTGTATATTCATGTTAAAACATTAGTTACATGAAAACATATTTAATGCTGTGTTAACTTTTTGATAAAGCATAATGAGTTTTGATGAAAACACGTTTTATTTTTCACAGATGGAAGCCCCCTAATTTTGATCCCTCTCTGATTCGGCTGCTGATTTACAGCGAGGTGGACGGAAATCGCATCATTCTGTTTGACTCCAGCTCTGTTGTCAGGTGGGAGGATAAGGTAAGAGAATTTAGAGAAATGTTTTACTGCACCTTATAAAATCATTTTTAGCTCACCTGAGCCGAAGGCTCAAGTGAGCTTTTCTGATCACATTTTGTCCGTCGTCTGTCCGTCTGTCTGTCTGTCTGTCCGTCCGTCTGTAAACTTTTCACATTTTTGACTTCTTCTCAAGAACCACTGGGCCAACTTTGACCAAACTTGATACAAAGCATCCTTGGGTGAAGGGGAATTTAAATTGTTAAAATGAAGGGCCAAGTCCCCTCACAAGGGGAGATAATCAAGAGAAGACAAAAATAGGGTGGGGTCATTAAAAAATCTTCTTCTCAAGAACCACAGGGCCAGTAAAGCTGAAACTTATATGGAAGCATCCTGGGGTAGTGTAGATTCTAAATTGTTCAAATCATGACCCCCGGGGATAGGGCGGGGCCACATTGTGGAATCAATGTTTTACATAGAAATATATAGGAAAAATCTTTAAAAATCTTCTTTTCAAGAACCACTGGGCCAGAAAAGGTGAAACTTATGTGGAAGCATCCTGGGGTAGTGTAGATTTTAAATTGTTCAAATCATGACCCCCGGGGGTAGGGCGGGGCCATAATAGGGAGTCCAAGTTGTACATTGAAATTAATAAGAAAAATCTTTTAAAATTCTTCTTCTCAAGAACCACTGGACCTGAAAAGCTGAAACTTATGTGGAAGCCTGCTGGGGTAGTGTAGATTCTAAATTGTTCAAATCATGACCCCTGGGGGTAGGGCGGGGCCACAATAGGGAATCCAAGTTTTACATTGAAATATATAGGAAAAATCTTTAAAAATCTTCTTCTCAAGAACCACTGGGCCAGAAAAGGTGAAACTTATGTGGAAGCATGCTGGGGTAGTGTAGATTTTAAATTGTTCAAATCATGACCCCCGGGGGTAGGGTGAGGCCACAATAGGGAATCCAAGTTTTACATTGAAATATATAGGAAAAATCTTTAAAAATCTTCTTCTCAAGAACCACTGGGCCAGATAAGCTGAAACTTACTTGGAAGCATCCTGGAGTAGTGTAGATTTCAATTGTTCAAATCATGACCCCCGGGGGTAGGGCGGGGCCACAATAGGGAATCCAAGTTTTACATTGAAATATATAGGAAAATTCTTTAAAAATCTTCTTCTCAAGAACCATTGGGCCAGATAAGCTGAAACTTACTTGGAAGCATCCTGGGGTAGTGTAGATTCCAATTGTTCAAATCATGATCCCCGGGGGTAGGGTGGGGCCACAATAAGTACTACGGGGGGGGTGGGGGGGGTGGGGAGAGAAATCAGGTGAAAAACAGCAAGGCCAAAGTTACTCAGGTGAGCGCTGTGGCCCATGGGCCTCTTGTTTCATTTTATAATTTGGAAATGAATTCAACATTTAAAAAAAAAGCATTCAAATCCAATGTTTATAATAGTACAGCTACGGTAATTAGAACAGCAAAAATTAAGACTGTAATTAGAGTAGTTGAACTAGCACATTATTATATTCAAACTACAGGAAGAAACTACACAGCATCATCAATCAAACCAGGACATTTTAAAAACAAATGGTAGACAACATCTCTTGTAGGAATTTGATTTCTTGGCTAAATAAATTGAAGTGAATTACATGTACATGCAAGTATAATATGGAAATACAATAATTACAGTAAGAATACATTTTTTTCAGCAGCAGCAGAATCCAAGGTGCCAAAAAGGTGCAAAATGCAGAAGGAAAAACCCAGTGAATGCAAGTCCCACTACCACAGGGGAGATAACCTGTCAACGCTATCAGCCAAAGTACCAGGTAAGGACATTGTCTGTCAGTTCTAGGCATCGTGGTAATTGATATACTGGTATTTTTATTCCAGAGCTTACAAAATCATGCTCTGACTTTAAGACATTGGATTGATTATATCTAGGATATATTTTAGTCATTGCATTAATTGATATTGATATACTAGTAATGGCATTTTAATCTGGTAGCTTACAAAACCTTGCTCTGACTGTAAGACATTGGAGGAGGTGGTGTTTGGTAGTGTTGGAATGGCACAGAAGGGGAGCTCACTCAAAGTGCATTTTTTGTGGTAAGGTTACGTATTACCTAATTAACAAGTCTAAACAAGAGAAACATAACAACAATAATGATATATATGTTATATATACACCAGCTTCTTTATCAAATACCTTACATGTGTATGCAGACATCAACTTTTTTTTGTAAAATACAATATTTTATACATATTAACATACTGCAAATAGTTCCTGAACATCTGAAGTAATGTTTACTTTTAATTTTATTTATTCTTAGGTCACGGATGTTGCTGACAAAAGTCTTCATTCCGACAGCCCCCAAACAAGAGTCCTTTAACAGGTATGTAATTACACAGTTAATTATAAGAATGCAGCTTGTCTGTTTCTTTTCTGTTAGATTATCATTTTTCATTTGTATTTTTCAGTGACCTTGATTTTAATCAGAGCTCCCCAAGTCAAGGGGATCAATCCAGCCCAAAGCTTATTTATCACCCAGAGAAATCTCCCAGTATTGGTAAGTCTGTCAAAGAGGAAGGATTTTCTACACTTGGCTTAATTTAAATGTCTAAGCAGAATGGATTTACTATCAAATGGAAGAATTAATACATTAAGTAGACGTTTATGCAATGTTTATTTATAGCTCAGAGTATCCCGGTTGATGTGCCCTCCTCACGAGACAGAATTGCCACCTTTGATATTTATGACCGAGACAGTGGCCTAGCTTCATGTAAGCAGTCAATAAGAAAATAAGTAGTATAGAGCACTTCAAATTTTTACCAAGAGAGAAAAAAGTCTTATGCAGTGCTTAAGTATATATTTGATTTTTATGTAAAATCTGAGGTTGTATTTTCCTTGTAGTGACCTCTAGTGGGAGTTTCCAGACTCCATTCCCATCCCCTAGTAGTAATGCTAGTAGTTACAGCAGTCTACACCGAAGGTGGATGAGAAGTGTCCACACATCCATTGAGGGGTGCATCAAGAAACGCAACTCCCACGACAATCTTGTCGCTCAAGATGTAACTGTCTCTTCTGTTTTCTGTACTGTACACATAGTACTTAACAAGTAAAAAATTGCAATAAAGAACACTCTTGAGAACATTTGGTAAATGTTTAATTAATATTTTTTCCTGTCATTTCCAGACCTCGTTAGGCCCTCAACCAGGATGTAGAAAAAGAAGAAGTAAGCTCGCGTTGGGCATTGTGTTTGGCGGTGATGAGCAAAAGAATCAGGACGACAACCTGTGAGTTAGAGTGATCGAAATTACTGAAAAAACATTTTATTTTACGCATTGAGTTAATTGTGATGAAGGTTAATTATCTTCATTTTTTTAAAAAGAATTTTCCTCTCTTTCTCTCTCTGCAGGTTATTCCAGAATTTTTTCTTCTCCCATATAACACTGATAGAGGGGCACCTTGAAAGATTAAAAATGGAGGTTGAAAAAGCATACAGCACTAAACAAAAGTTTGTGGATATTGTCATGGAGGTATGATATTGCTGAATGTCTGTGGTTAAAAAAATTGGTTTGATAGTTTGTGTTGATCATCAGTCCTATTTTATATAAAAAATAGATCCTTTTATCACATAAAAAAAGAAAGATATTCAAATACTGAACAAGTAAATGAATGAGAAAAATATGTCAAATTATACTTTATGGTTTAAGGCTTTGGAGACTTTTCGAAGTGACATCATGGATTTATACACCTCTCCACGGTTGAGTGAACCTGTGTGGCAGAGCATGATGTCACATCCCAGCTACCGCTACCAGATCTGTGAGAATTTTATGAAGGAATTGGTAACACTCATCAACAAGTTTGACAGCAAAAATAATGAATTGTAAGTCATCTAGATCCAAAATACAGTTATTTTCTTGCTGAATATTTTGTGACTCACTGATTTGCGTCACAAGATTTTTGTGTAATGAACAGATTTACAGTGAGAGTGTTAACTTTCCTGATTTAAAAAAAAAGGATTTACCTCCTTCTTGTTACAGTTTTATGAGTACCCTTGTCACAGCAGTGTTGACACATCATCTGGCATGGGTTCCCACAGTAACCCCAGCAGGGGGAACTCCCTCCAAGACCTACCTCCACAATCATTCTGCAAAATGGGTATGCATCTCTTGCAAAGAACATTGTTACAGAGCACTATAAATATATCATCTTTTTTAATTACATAAAGAAGTAAGAAGCTGTGAGCTCTTTGTATAAACCTGTTGGAATTTTTCTTTACAGTTGGACACATTAGCAAAGACCCATCCTTACAATCCACTCTGGGCTCAGTTAGGGTAGGTCCATGTAAATAGTAGTGCCATCATTTTTTGCCGATATTATGCTTTGCATTTGTTATTTTTTAATCCATCATTTCTTGGATTTCAGGGATATGTATGGTGCTATTGGCTATCCACTGAAAATAGCCAGGACAATTATTGTAGGAAAAAAGGCAGATCTTGTCAAAAAAATTCTGTACATATTGAGTTACTTCATTCGCTGTAGTGATGTCCATGAGAATGGTGAAGTCGGAACACTAGAGTCGTTTCTAGATGATGTTTGCATGGAATCTCCAGAGGAAGATAAAACTCCCGTCCATGAGGGTTTTAAGTTTCCCTCAGTCCCTGACGAGAAATTACAAACAGGGTTTCATATAAGCAATTCTGTGATATTTAACACTAGTTCACCTGAAGTTCAAAACAATGTAGAAATCAAAAAGTGTGTTGATAGGAGTGATCTGAAATTAGATGTCCACAGTCAGCATAGCTCACAAAGGAACAGTAACGAGACGGAATCGTCAGAGATGAACCAGGACGAGGGATACTGCTCCATTGTGCAGTCTGACGAGAGTGAGAAGATCAGGTGTAGGTTATCAACGGACTGTGTGGTGGAAAATGTTCCTGTTGAAAATGTTATGAATGTGAACAGAGCCGCAGTTAGTAGGACTAGTGATGTGAATGAGAAACTCGTAAAACCTGCCAAATCTAGTTCTGTGCTTTCATCTAAGGTTAGTAACAGTAATGATATAACAGTGGAAAAGAAGCCATCAACAGCTGACATAAAGCACCAGTTTCTGTCAGATAGAAGTAATAGTATGTTTAATGAGTATTTTGAGGATGACAGTATAGTGACAAAAACAATTGATGATGTGCCGCTAGACAAGCGAGTCATTCACCCGGCAATGAGGGATATTGTCATGTCCCAGTCACTAGAATGTTTAACAGAATCCTCTGACAATGACACACATCAGAGGCGACTTGGGTCAGTGGGACAGTCTGCCAGGCCCAAATTATCCCCTCTCTCCAGGCAGATGAGTTCAGATTTCTCCAAACCCTCCACCTACAATCCCGGTCGCTGCAGGTTAGCACTGATTCTTCATAATATAAATGTGTATCAACTTAAAAGCAACATTTTTTGGGTTTGGGTCTTGATGAAACATGGTACTAACAGATTATCTCTTCTGTTGCAGGTCTGTAACCCCAACAGAATTGAACAGGCGCCGTCATCTCTCCTCAACAAGCAGTTTTGATTTTGATCACATGGATCCACTTGTTCACTTCAAAGAACTTCCAATGCCAAGGTAATTCAACATTGTAATGAGGTTTTCCTCACTTGCATGCATTATCTTCTAGTGTTGCATCATTTAACATCAGAGAATGTCCTTAGATTTAAAAAAGTTTTGATATTTTTGTAACCATGTATCTTTGGTGTTTTCAGCATTAGTAGTGAGAGGAATAGCAGCATTAAAATGTTTGATAGGAACTTTGGACGGTCCCTTCTTGCCGAGTATTCTGACCATTATTTATCTAATTTTGTCCTGCATGGTACATCGGACAACAACTTTAAAGAGAAACTTATACGTGATCTCCACATGGCAACTCAGGTCTGTTTTTGTGATGTTTAATGAAAATAAGAAAATAGACATGGAGAAAGGTCTAAGTTTCTATCTGTAAACATGGAATTGTGCAATGTCTAGAATCATGTATTGATTTTTCTGTAGGATGTAATTGTTTTGTCTACAAAGTTTTTGTTTTCTTGCAGCACTCCGTGTTAGATGAGCCAATAACAGAGGCTGTGTTTATAGTAGCTGATACAGACAAATGGTAACGTGTCATTGTCAACAAAACTTATCTAATGTTGATAATCATTTGTGAAAGATAGTCCTAGTTAACCTTGTATGACATGATTGCTGTGTGTTTTCAGGTCTGTGGACATTACCAGCAGTAAGTCACCAGACCAGCCTCCGAAAGTTAGTCGTGTGGTGGCCTCTCAACTTGTGTGCAATATGATGGACGCTGTTCAACAGCTACACCGCCTCAAAATGAGTTCCGAATTTGTAAGTTATGTAAATGTATCTCAACTTTTGTAAAAAGACATACAATTGCAGTTTTGGAAAGGAAAAGTCATGTACATACTGTATCTGATGGCATAAGATTCTTTTGGGGCATCATTTGTCAAAATGGATAGATAATGATTTTTGTATTTATTTATAGTGCTTAATGCATCTAGAAGACAGGCTACAGGAAATCTATTTTAAGAGTATTATGCTGGCCGAGTACTTAAGAGAGAGTAAAACCCCGGGTCAGTGTGACATCAAGGAAATGACCAAATTACTCGGGTAAGAACAAGGATACTTTCTACATTACATGTATTTATGAAATGCTTTAGGTTGGAAGAAATGTCATTAAACATACATGTAATGTTATCAGAATTTACATGTCCATTATTTTTAGATTTGATAATGGAGATTTGCCATTACTGGTGGCCATTGCAGGGACACACTCTCCCCAACTGACTCTGGGAGACCAGTGATCAGGACCCACCCATGCCAAACACCCCTCACATATCAGGCAGCAGGAGTGATTTAGAATCGGTTTAACCCACGTTCCTAGGAAGCTGATCTCAGATGTGTCCAGATTTAATATATCATTAGTTTTATTTAATTTCAGGGTGTTCAGTTAATGATACTGGTGCCATAATAAATATACATAAAGGGAATGAACATGTAATTTAATTTAAAAGATGGGGAATAAGAAAAAAAAAGAAACTAGTAAATCAGGGATTTTTATGCCAATAATTTGTGATATATTTTGTTTGGATTGTTAATTTCCTTTGTGCTTTAATTTAGCAAATAGGTTTTAATAATTATGGACTGATTTAAGCACAGAAACTTCATTGATTGATTTAAACTTGTATACAAGTAGATGCAACCTGCATGCTTCTGCCTATTCAGTTATCTGTACTTACATTGTATGTGTAATTGCAAATAAACATTGAAGCTTAAAGCTGAGCCAGTATTTTTTGATGTCAAGATTTATGTATCAAATAAAAACTTGAAATTTGAATTTTTTGGTCCTATTACTAGTATTTATATATTTTGTCTGAAGGGCAAGCTGTTTAATTTGGGAGCTCAGTATCAAAAGTTAAGGTGAACTGTGACTGTGGGATTCAAAGAAATCACCCAGGTTTACTTAAGTGCCATGCAAGACGATATTGATTGGAGCATGTCAGACATACCAGAAAAAATTATTTAACCCAATTTGGTTAAGCAAAGGTAAACTTTAGTGAAACGACATGTTGATCGATTATGTGTGAAGTTTGATCATACTGTAGCAATTTTGGCTATATGGACCATTGGTATCTGTCTTGGTAGCTCAATGGTTAGAGCACCTGACTAGTTATGCAGGGATTCTGGATTCCATTCCCATTCCAGCCATAAAATTTTTCCTTTCCTGTTACATTAGGTGTAGTGACCAACATTATGAGAATGTTGGTGTGGGTGGACCAGGGTGGCTATGTCTGGAACACCTGATTTAATAATGCTGGGTTCTGAGTTTGATTCCTGGTCCAGCCATTTCTCATTAGGTATATTTGGTGCTGTGGATCACCCCGGATTTGCTGGTGAAAGTCCTGCCAGGGGCTAAAGAGTCTGGGTTGTTTGTCTTCAAGGGTGAAGAAATGTAAGGAGTAAGAAAGTAGTGGTTAGGGCAAAATGGATCAAGGATATACATGTATAAACCTTGATAGCTCAGTTGTTAGAGCACCTTACTAGTAATACAGGGGTCCTGGGTTTGAATCCTGATCCAGCTATATTTTTCTCCTTTCCTATTACAATACTATTAATTGATCTCATACAATTGGCTTATCTCAACAGCTAAAAAATTTCTGAAACTGGAAAGGATGAATAGACATCAATCTGTGTCCAGATTTTCCTTTTAAACCATAAGAAACTCAGATTGTCAAAGCCCCATAGGCATTTTATTTTCATTTACTTCATATCTTTTCTATATATTTATTCTTATACCCTATTATTTGAAAATAAATCATGTAGTCCAGGCTGTTAATATTTGTTCTTTATCCCAGGAAAATTAAAAACTACTCTTGGGGTTAAATAATGTTCCTTTTAATGTGAAACAATCATGAAGGCTATGTGTTAAGAGAGTTTATTTTCTTTTTTAAAAAATGGAATACATGTATATGTAATTTTATTAAATACATGAATTCATATTTAGGTGACTTTGTTCACAAGAGGTGAGCATGGTAGAACTTATATGATAATTGACTCATTCAGTGATTAGCCTCACTTCCATCAGAGAGGTCAAAGGGTGAGTCTCCACCTGAAAAAAAAAATCATTAGCATTCAGGTCAACTGACATACATGTCTGCATTTGCCCAGATTATTATTATTATTATTTATATTATTATTTTTTTTAATATGTTATTTTTTTTAATTTATCATCATAAAATAATTTAGCAGTATAGTAACAAAAAATTACCATTGTTTCTTCTGAGTCCATATCCGTTTCTTCATCATTTAAATCAACATCAAATTTTCCTAATGTTCTCTCTGGAAAAGATGTTAAGATGGATAAACAGGATTCAAATTTGAAAAATCTCATTCCCTTTTCATAAAACATAAGAATAGCAGAAAACAATGTTTTATACACCTTTGCACTGGAATTTAAAAACAAAATGAAATTGCAAATCGTAATTCGAATAATTAAAATAATCTTATCCCTGAAGACATTGAATCCACATCTTAGAATGTATGTTATAGCTACTTAAAGTCACAAAAGTACCGTTACATATAAAAACTTAAACAAGCAGATATCCAGGAATAAATGTCATATGAACATAGACTTCCAGGGCTAGTGATAAAAAGACAAATATGCATGGCGGATCAAACCTTTATTGAAGCCTGGACTGATCTTCATTTCTACAATCTGTGATGAGCTGTTAAAACTGACTACTTCTGCCTCCTGTAACAAAATTCACCCAAACTATTTATATCTTCAAATGGAACAAATCAAACCAAACAATTAAATGCTTGGAGCATGTACATGCAAATATGACAACATTACACATGTAGTTAGTTTTTTTTTCCCCAATATGGAATCTCACCTTGTAATCTCCAACTTCTGGTGTGTAATTTTCAGACATTTCAAGCATCTACAAGATAAATACCAAGTAAACAATGCAACATGTTCTATTTCTCTCCATATTTGAATACCGGTATACCCTACAATGATTTGTAACTTTCGCTCAATTTAGAACATGTTGTACAAAAATAAATTAAACCAAGGATTGAATAAGTCAAATGGCAGTTATAACAATTTTAAAGACCTGCAGTTCATCAATTTGACTAAAGTTATACCTCTAATTTACATTACTGTATATTAACAACCCAAAAGCAGAATCTTATATATATATATATATATATATATATATATATATATATATATATATATATATATATATATATATATAAACGTTTGTTTACTACATGTATTTTTTTTAAACATATATAAAGGCATAACTTAATTGTAATGCCTTTTTATGCCCCCGTATTTACATGTTTATTTCTTGTGAGAAGGCCTTTCCTTGGGCACCATCAATGTTGACCATTTGACCTTGACCTTGATGTTTGACTTACCTTTGAAAATTTTTAACCTTTTCCATATCTTTTCAATGGTTGCTGCTAGGGCTTTCATATTTCACAGGTATATTCCTCGGGACAAGACCTTACTTTGGGTACCAACATATTTGATTTGCATTCGAAAAAGTTTAACCCGGTAACCTTCGCTATAAGTTGCCATACAGGGTCATCAGTGTTTCACAAACACATCTTGTTTTTTTCTCTTTTTCTAGCCATCATTTTTTTTTCTGGATTTTATGATGAAAAAAATATTTGAAAGGGCACATAAGGGTTTATTAAGTAATCCTAAACAAACATATTTTTTTTTAGGCCTAATCAAACTGGCAGTTTGAGGAACTGTATATTTTATGGTGGGTCTGTGTTTTGCTAGATTGACACTTTATTTGAGTTACGGATGGTTTATTTAATTACAGAAATAATGAGCCCATACCTTAAATGCTATCTTATCTCCAGGATTAGGACTGCCTTGAAGCAATGGAAACTGCTGGTATTCCCTGCGTACTGGAATAGCAATGACAGGACTGGCGTTACTAGATGACCTCTGTGGACAGGTCAATGGTGCTGATTCCTCTTTCCCATTACTCAGACTGGTGTTCTATTAATTAGAAAACTTCCTATTGACATTAACATTTATTATTATCACTTGCATTCACTCTCTCTCTCTCTCTTTATATATATATATACCATAATGGTAACAAAAAAACTGACAGTCATTCAGGGCATGCAGTATGCTAATGTCAACAGTGTTGACATTTTATTCTTGGAAAATGATGTGGCCTCAGAAAGGTCTCTCTCATAATTGTGCAGTTTTAAGAATAGCTATAGAAGACTCATGTGACTCTCAAAAAAAAAAAATTAGTGTCTTTCTATTTAGTATTAAGTATGAAGTCTGTAGGATAAAAATGTAATTCCATCACATGATCACTACTATGTTTTGACTTTAATTTTAGACCCGACTCCAATAATTGTATTTCTCTAAACTATCCTCCAGCTACATATACTAGAATGTATTGACTATGAGCTCTGTTGGTTGAAAGGTACTAAATTTAGCCAATTAAACACAATTTATGCCTATTTTATACCTGTAAAACAAAGGATCTATTGGTGAGTTTTGTCGACAACTGCTGTTCCTTTGTCAGCTCTCTAAAACTATTGCTCTTGATCTGCCGACTTCTGGGTCGAGAAAACACTGCCACTCCATTGGCTAGAACTGACTGTGTCACAGTGGGCCTATCTATTGCTGATGGGCTCTCACTGTATGTGAGATCTACAGTTTGATCCCCATGTTTGTGATATACAGGAGTGCTGGTTCTGAGTGACTCCTCCTCCTGCTGGAGGGCGTCTTCCTGTGTCCTTGAGGAGTCTAACATTGTACATGATTGTTCTTCCTCGTTATCTGAAGTAAACTTAATATGCATGTTACTGTTCAGATCTACTTGTTGTCTGAGAGGTTTGACATTGATTGAATTGTTGCTGACAGTAGCTGCAGGTGCTGCCTCTTCTCTTCGCCTTTTACGTTTTCTTGTACGCTTTTTCTTGTCAGGTTTGACTGTATCCTCTGTGTGATTTGTACTTCTATCTGGTGTCATATCCTCATCCTCCAGAGTTTCATGTTTTTCTGTTGATATTTTCCGTTTCTTTTTTGTCTGGTGTTCCTCGTCACCTGATATGTACATGACATCTTCTACACCTTTTCTCTCTGTTTCTTTACTTTGTATTGAGCTTGATTCTTCTTTGCTCTTCTTCTTTTTTCTTAAATCCTTATCTTTATTGTAAATTTCTGCATACTCTTCTGGTGTTATCAACCTAAAAAATGTATGTTTACCTAAATGATAGAAAAGTATACCTGTTTTTCTCTCTATGAGCAAATAATATCTAGAAAAAGGACAACTCATCTGCCACCTTAAAATCGAACAACAAAACTTCTGAAATTCCCTCTTTTACAAGTCAAGTAGCAGACAACATATTTCATCCCCCCCCCCCCCATCTTAGAACAGACCTCTTACTGTCAAAAACAATTACAACTAGTGAAAAATTACTTTCTTATGTTCGGACTTTAAAAACTTATGATCCAGATATGCTTTAGAATTTCAAACTGTCTGTATCTTATGTCCTAGATTGTGATATGCATGTGTAGCAATGTGATGTTTTAATCTATGAATAAATAAATTACGATAATGAATAAAATATGAGATATAATCTGAAAGATTATATCAGTATTATATATAACGGGTATATATATATATATATATAGAGAGAGAGAGAGAGAGAGAGAGAGAGAGAGGGGGATATTCAATGTTTTGTAGATGAATATGGAATTTATTTCACGAGTGGGACAGGATTTTTTTATACCAGGTATTTTCACAAGTGTGAAGCACGAGTGAAAATACAAAAAAAATCCTGTCTCACGAGTGAAATAAATTCCATATTCATCTACAAATCATTGAATTTTCTGTTTATTACATTTTCTTTGATTTTCCCTTTGCCCCTGTCTTTTCTTAACACAGTGTCATAGGCTTGACGTCATAGTTGAGCGGTTGAGACATCATAGCTTGGCAGTTGTGAGATTGAAAACATTACATAGCATGGATTTTAGCAACATATTTGGGAAGAAAATGGCAGTTTTAGCTCTATCAAGATGGTTAGTTACTATCTCTATCTTTTGACAGGCCAGAAATTATTTTTTACTCACTTTGATATCCTTTCACATTGTGAGAGAATATCATTTTGGTATCCTTTCACACTGTGAGAGAATATCACTTTTATTCAATAAATAAATCACAGTATTTCACTATTGAAAATGTAATATATATATATATATATATATATATATATATATATATATATATATATATATATATATATATATATATATATATATATATATATATTGACTGTAGACCAGGACAATTTTATCTGCTTCCTAAGATACACAAAGAAGGTATGCCAGGTCGCCCTATAGTTAGCGCTATTGGACACCCCACGGAGAAAATTTCTGAATACATCGATTTACATCTCCGTCCACACGTAGAGAATTTGCCATCCTATCTCAAGGACACCACGGACTACATTAACAAGACGCCCTCTACTGGCCTTCCAGATCATACCTAGCTGCAATAATGTATCCCTCTCCCTTTTTTTTTTTTTTTTTTTTTTTTGGGAGAGGAAAAAATCAGATAAAAAAAAATCGGAGAGGGCTACATTATTGCAGCTAGATCATACCCTTCTCGTGACTATGGAGGTCACATCTTTGTACACCAATATTCCGCACGATGAGGGTATCGAAGCCTGTAGAGAAGTCTGGGATAGTAGATCCATACAAATTCCTTCTACCGAGTCCCTTGCCAAGCTCCTTGAACATGTTCTCAAGTATAACAACTTCATGTTTAATGGAGAACATTACCTGCAGGTTAATGGCACTGCTATGGGTACGAAAATGGCACCATCTTATGCCAATATTTTCATGGGCAGACTGGAACGCAACTTGCTACTTCAAGCACCATTTAGGCCCCTTAGCTGGTTGCGTTTCATTGACGATATAGAGATGAAGTGGGTGGAATGTCGCGAGAGCCTCGAGGCATTCATTTCGTTTGCCAACACCTTTCATCAGTCTATCAAATTTACAGTAGACGTATCTAATTCGAAAAACATATTCCTAGATACTACATCTACCCTGACTGATGGTGAAATCGAGTTCAGTCTCCACACGAAACCCACAGATTCCCATCTGTATCTTATGCCAACTAGCTGTCATCCCCCACACACATTTAAGGGTGTGCCTAAGGGTCTAGCCACCAGAATTCGGTGCATCTGTTCATCCCCTGCCTTATATCAAGAACAAAGCGGTCTCCTTAAGTCCCACTTATGCAAGAGAGGCTACAATGCCCGCACCGTACAAACTGCTATTGATGAGATGGCGGGACATGACAGGCAAAACCTATTACGCTACAAGGAAAAAGACAATAGCGGCAGGGTCCCTCTGGTAACCACATACCATCCCGTCCTTAAGAACCTCAGCGGTATCCTTCAAAAGAATCTACCAATTCTCCACTCAAATAAACGAATGGCAGAGGTCTTTAAGGAGCCCCCATTGGCTGCATACAGGCACCCGAGGAACCTGAAGGACATGGTAGTAAGAACCAGATTGGACAATCCATTACCTAACGGGGGCTTTAAAACTTGCTCTGACAGAAGATGTCTTCTCTGTAAGTACAGCTCTGACACAGACAGTTTTAACAGCCCCGTTACAGGCCGCAGCTACAAAATACTAGGGAATTTGTCCTGTCAAACAGACAACTGCATTTATCTCATCAGCTGCAAAGTTTGCTCCAAACAGTATGTTGGTGAAACAGGAGATCTCCGCAGGAGAGTCAATAATCACCGTTCTACCATTAGGACCAAAAAACTCAATGAACCCGTTGGGGAACATTTCAACCTTGAAGGTCACAAATGGGAGGACATGACAGTAGTGGTTATTGACCATAATCCAAGATGGACAGACGCGCAGAGAAAAGGCAAGGAAAAGTTCTGGATGCACAGGCTGAAGTCATTCCGCCCTAATGGTATTAACAAACTTAATGACTTCACCAGGATGAACGTGAACTAGACCCAATCCCGAATTGTAACAAACAAGTTCATTCTCTCTATATAGTGTAAACTTTACCGTTAATTCATATTAGTAATCCTGGAACAACCTACCCAAATATTTACAGCTCACATTTTTGTTTATTTCTTTTTTCCGATTTCCAAATTTAGAATATATCCAAATTCATATTTCAAAATTATCCTTCCATATTATCTTTCTTTAATTTCTTTTTATCATGTAGAGTTACGCTATGTTGAGAGAATAAGACAATGTACGATTTACTGTTGGCCGTAATTAATTAGCGATAATTAATTCGTTCAATTATGTAAATCACACTTCACCAGAGTACACCCGATAGACCGGACGCAATTCATAGCGCTCCGGATTTCTTTGTTCACAACTGTCTATAAACTCAAAATTAAACATGTAACATTGTAAATATTTAGTGTTTGGTAGTTTAGTAGTAGTGCTAGTTGTTTTTGCTTCTCTATTTCCTTTGTTTTTATGACTTCTTAACTTTTTTCTTTGTCCTGAGGAAGGGACAGGTTGTCCCGAAAATTTGTCAATTATTATTGTTCGTGTCGTTGGTCATTTTTAGTGCTTTATATATATATATATATATATATATATATATATATATATATATATATATATATATATATATATATATATATATATATGAAGAGAGGAAATTTTGAGTTCAATACATATCTCAACAAAATTTTGAACTGTCTACATGAAAAATTGGTAAACCATCTGAGGAGGCTTCCATATAAATATGACTTATTGTGGCTTTGATATTCTTGAGAGGAAGATTTTTTAAAGAGATTTTTCCTATAAATTTTTATGTAAAACTTTGATTGCTTTTTGTGGTTCCACTCTATTCCCAGCGGATCATATTTGAACAAATGTGAATCTACAAATCTACAAATTACCTGAGGATGTAAATATGACTAATCATGGCTTTGCTGTTCTTGAAAAGATTTTCAAAGATTTTTCCCATATATTACTACATTTTTTTCAAACTTTGACCATCCATTGGGGCCCTACCCCCCCCCCCCCCCCCCCCCCAGTTCATGATCTGAACAAACTTGAATCTACAAATTACCTGAGAATGCTTTTATATAAATAGGAATAAGCATGGCTTTGCTGTTCTTAAGAAGAAGAATTTTGAAGATTTTCCTATATATTTCTATGTAATACTTTGATTGCCCATTGTGCCCCCCCCCCCCCCCACCACCAATAATTTGTACAAACTTTGATCTACACTACGAGGGGTATTTGAAAAGTTCTGATAACTGCTTGCTAAAATATTAACCATTTCACGGAAGTTAATAAGTTTGATACCATTGAAAAGAGCTGTAAAATTTGCACTTATATTAACATAATTTTCTTACATTTATGACGTAATTCCTCCGAAAATGACGTCAGAATCTCGAATGTTTGGCATACTGAAAAGTCGCGTTTTTTGTCCACATGAGAGGATTGAAAAAGTGCTGTCAAAGGCTTATTTGAAATGATATTTCAAAGAAAATTTGCATGGAGGTAGAGTAAGACTGTAAAAATGGGACAGTAAATCAGCAATTCCATATTTTATTTTTTTTGCTTGATCAATAAGCATGGTAATGTTATCATAGGCATTCATAAAAGATTTTTATTTATATGACATAGCTGGATTTTCAGTCAATTATTTAGCTCTCCACTATATTAAATAAAAGATATTCTATATAAAACTGATGTGTAACAATGCTGTTTTCCACAAATGTATCTTAAGTATCAGGACCGTTACTGTTTACGAATAAGACGTACAAAATTTTTCCCCCGGACTTGTTTCTGTGCGTATTTTTTCATATTATTTCAACTTCGGCGATCCAAAACTCACTATTGCTTTTGACTTTCGACTCCAAAAAATACATCTGAGTTCCATTACCATGTACAATCTTATTTATTTTCCATGATTTAAAAAGTTCGAACATATCGAGTTACAGTGGGGTCAGAACTACACCGACGCCATTTTGGTTTTTACAAGGAAATATAGGACACCCTTAGCTTAACCTCTCTTGAGCTTTAGTAGTTCCTGCAAAATTGGTTAAAACACCTGACAAATTAATGCCAGCAAACTCTGTAACACCATCCACTATTCTCCTGTGATTGTCAACTTTGCGATTTTCTCACAGCAACATCTTTTTTACACAATATTTTGCGCGAGATTCGATAATAACATGCTATGTTTGACACACTCTTAAACCATCTCAGAACTATAGGAGCCCCTGAATGTAAGTTCATATGATAGACTGTAGGCAATGTAAACATTTTTCCAAATGGCAGTTGTGTCTGTTAGCGTGCATCCGAGTAATGAACAAAACTGGACTTTAAAATTTCACTTCACTGAAATTGTGTCTCTTGTTACATCATTTTTATGGTCAGTATGCTAGACATTCAAGATTCTGATGTCATTTTCGGAGTTATGTAATAAAAATTACAAAGTGATGTCACAATATGTGTATATTTTTGTGATCTGTCCAATGATATCAAATTCAGTAATTTCCGTTAAATGGTTAATATTTTATCAACCAGTTCTCAGAACTTTTCAAATGCCCCTCATATTTTTAATTATCTCCACTTGAAAGATGGTGTGGCCCTTCATTTGAAGAACCTTGAACCCCCATTATCCAAATAGGCAAGTTTGGTTGATATTGGCCCAGTGGTTCATGAGAAGAAATTGAAAATGTTAAAAGTTTACAGACAGATGGACAGAAGGATGAACAGATAGACACCATACTGTCCATACAAAATTTGATTAGAAAAGCTCACTTGAGCTTTCAGCTCAGGTGAGCTAAAAAGTTATGAAGAGTTTAAGAATTTAACTATACATTTTTTTTTGGTCAAAAGAATGTGTGAAAAATGAATTCACGAGATGCAATAAACAAAGGTCTGGAATAGGATGTGAAAGTTTACTGAAAAATATGATGCCATTGTCTTGCAATGTGCAAAATGAAATGGCAAATTTATTATCTGAAGTGTGTAAATTGTATTATTCACCATGTTCACAAAATTAATTGCACTCATCCAAACAGTTTCACTTTCTGACTACAGGGGCTTGATCGCATTGTGTATTTTAAAAAAAAAACAAACCTATCAGAAACCATGGAAACATGTGTTATTTCTTTAAAATACAGATGCACAATATCATCTTCACGAAATATAGAGGATTTTTCCCACTCTGGGACTGTGCAGCCATTGATGAGGATAGAGAGAGACCCGTCTCTCTGAGGCATGAACTTCCGCCTTACGTAGGAAAGAAAATCTTTCACTTTAGGACACTTTTTTGTTTTTACCAAAACCCAAGAACATGGCAGTGAAAGATTGTCAAAGAAAAGTTTTACGCGAACAGGCACTTCTTCCATGGACGCAGACATCTTGTTTTCTTTTTTTAATCTTCATCACAAAAGAGTTAGGCTTAAATACTTTAATGCTCTCAGATGCGTTTGTCTTAATGTTTGTATTCTGATTAATACATAGAAAAATAAAATTTATGAACAACTTATCTAAATCCAGGAATAAATCTTCAAATAATTATTGAACTTGAGGAAAATATAATCTGATCGGGATCGAACTTCAGGAAATTAGACTAAAAAAAGAAACATCACGTTTTTACACCACTTTGGGAAAACTTGGTGAAATAATGTAATTTCGCTCAAAAAAAGGCAAGTGAGTTTCATAATATTAACAGCAGATAACAAAGTGTATGTTTTTCATGATATTTTAAGTATAATTGCTTCAAATCTTAGAAGAGAACACAAAGAAATAGTTAAACGGTTAAATATGCGTGTATGTCATATGGATTGTGTAATAGTCAGGTCCAGTACAATCTTTTGATTTAGCTATGTAGCTTGAATTAGCTATATAGCTTTATTGAGCTGATCAGAATAGCTTTATAATTTAAAGGTTTTTTTATATGCTGTTTTTCACAAAAGTTTTTTTTTGTAAGAAATAGACAAAAAGTCAAAGAATCTGGGGGGATAAGACGAGCCATGTGCCCATTCCCATTTTTCGGCTTTGCAAGAACATTTATTGGAAAAAATCTCTCAATTGTTCGAATTTACTTAAGCATTTTAATGTTTACCGTAGTTTTCAAAATGATATTTATATTCTAAACAAGCTAAACAGTTGACTTTCATTTACTGTCACAAATGTCTAACATGGGTAAAGACTTCTACTAATTAATCTGCATATTGAGTGTTTACACTTATTGTGGAGATATTATCAAAATGTTAACATCGTATATAATGATAATGGTGATCTAGAAGCGCTTTTATTTAAAATAAATAAAACGGGAATAAAAGTATTCAAATATCTATTATAATTTTTATCCGGCATTTTAAATAATTTACTGTAAATAAGTTCATTACTACATGTATATATTTTATTTCCAGTGAAAAATATGTTATTCCTATAGACATTTTTTATAAAGTAAAACAAAATTAAAACCAAAAAATTCAAAAAAAAAAAAAAAAAAAAAAAAAAAAATCAGAGCATGACTCGAACACTTTCCTCAATAAACGTCCCTTTAAAGAGCTCATCGCTAACCACTAGACCACGGAGTCACACTAACAATTCCATTTAAATAGCATACAGTTCTCTATTTTTAGCAAGCGTTTTTGGACTTAGAATTTTTTAAGACCACGGTGAAAATTTAAGTAAGTTAACTTAATTTTTATGTAGAGTGGGTCTTCATACCAAATTTTTGCAAGTGTAAAAAGCAACATCTTTCCATTGCCTTTCATTAATCGTTCTCAAAAAAATGGTACGATGACCCACTCTATTTAAAAAATGTAGTTATATCATCCAATTTATGTCAGTTTCTGTGAAAATTGAGCGTGATGCCATTTTGTTGTGTTAATCAGAATCATTTTCGCTGTTACAGTATTCAGGTTTTGTCAAATTTATATGCAAATGGTAATAAGCATTACATTAATTCAACAAAAAGTGAAATTGTTGTAAAATGAATTTATTGATTTTTTATCGATCGTTATGTAGGCATATGACTCGGCTTATCCCCCCAGTTTCTTTGTGATTCTTCATATATGCAGAGTTTCCAAATATTTCTATCAGTCATTTGGACTGATGACTTAACATATTCTCTCAGTCTGAAGCAAATTCTACCGGTCCGAATAAATGGTATAATTCATGATGTAATTCAAAAGAATATGAAATTTGTTGGGACTGGTCCATTTCACCTGAAAGTATACATCAGATTGCTTCAGAACATCAATGCCAACCTAAATGGACCTTGAAAGTATTCAGATTGCAGATCATAATAGCACCAATTGCGAGACATTGCAATAGATCAGAGTACAATTAATTAGAATTATCTATCTATGACTCGAGACAGACCCTAACCACAGTTACAATACGTCCCATATATCGATAGTTGCAATTTAGCAAACCATATATCGATAGTTGCAATTTAGCAAACCATATATCGATAGTTGCAATGTAGCAAATAGGAGTCGATCCGGTACATACTTAACAAGTTGTACAGGTAATAATGTGACAGAGATCGGGCTCGGGATGTCTTTATGCATTACATCAGCAGGACTTTATCGTAATGTGATACAATAGCGGCCAAAGGTAGTCCGGGTGTACATTACGAGCGCTCTGCAGAAAGCTGGCAGTTGCCAGTCAGAGCTCAGTGTAGACGGTCGTCGGAGGCACAATAGTGAGGTACGGCAGAGGTTAATAAGGCTTGTAATTAATACAGTATACGGTGTCTAGTATACTGGGTTTACATTATTCAGGTTAATAAAATTGTAATTACTTTTCCTCGAATTTTATTAAGATCTGTCTGTGTATAGGACAGAGACCTCGAAGATCCGTACCTGTCCTGGTACTGATACATGCAGGACACAGACCTGTCTGAATACAGGACCTATCCCGGATTTGAGACCCGTACCTGTCCTGGTACTGATACATACAGGATACAGACCTGTGCGAGACCCATACCAATAATTGTTTAAAGATAGTTGTATGCTTTATGTTAAGGATAGGAAGTCCTTATATTATTTATATCTGTATATATTGACTCGTTTATTTTTCACATCCTTTGTCACTTATCATTTCTATTCATTTGTTTAATTAATTGTCTTGATTAAGGGTTTACCCAGATTCATGGACCCAAACATGTTACAATAACTACTTAATGAATCATAACTAACCTTTAGCAAACCATATATCGATAGTTGCAATGTAGCAAATGGGAGTCGATCCGGTACATATTTAACAAGTTTTACAGGTAATAACTACTTAATTAATTATAACTAACCTTTTTGAGCTTGTATATGTCTTTTATCCTAAAAAATAACCCATTTGAAGACAAAAATTCAACTCATTTTCTCAACACTTGTCCTCACTTCGAAGTTACATCCATGCTGGCGTTCGGAACTCTCTAGATTATTCGTAGTAGTGTAGATTAGAATTATCTGCCCCATTTATTTTGCTGCATTGCCAGAAAGTAACTCGCTAAAGGCTTTTTGAGATTACCATAAAAAGACAAAACTTTACAGGTACAACAGAAACTCCAAAAAAACAATGGATTGTTAAGGCAGAAATTGATCAGTCATGAGGACCGGTGATATAGTGAATTGCATCGGACATTTCAATTTTCTATCTGTTTTGCCGATAGGACCGATGGTTTTTTGGAAAATCTGTATATGTACTATGGACTATCAAAAAAGCAACCCAAATCAAAGATAGCTCTAACATTAGAGCATTTAAATACTTTTAAGCAAAAGATGTATTTCCATTGTTTGGATAACTGTACACAACTTGTGTGCTTTGAGGCATGGATAAGAATGATTGCTTCACATTGTGCTGAATTATTACCAATCAGTTATCTTACTGATCATAATTGACCTCCTTTATAATTTAATTCAACAGGCTGCATTTCATTTCTGTAATTTTTTTAAATTTTCAATTTTTCATTTCCGACATTTTATAGTTTTCATTTCCGACATTTTTCAGGTACGTGTAGTATACTTTTTGGCAATGAAAGCAGGATTGAAGACTATACTTATATTTAGTTTAAGTTTGAAATCAGATATGTTATGATGGAAATTATAAGGCATTCAGAAACCATTAGAGGGAATAAAGCCATCATTGTTGAGGGAATTCTCAATAGACAGAAGAATGAATTAAAGAACGGAGGCATCACATACGCATGTAGTGCAGGGAAAAATGCAATATTATAAATGTATGACAACGGATGAAGATAGTTAATATTGATAAACATGTATACTGGGTATATGTATACAGTGTATAAATTCTTTTAAAATTCCATTTCCACCTGCTTGGTTAACATTAAATTGCCGGAGAGTAACCCTGCAAACATTCCGGAAATTAAAAAAAAATAAATTTCGGAAATGAAAAAAAATTGTCCGAAATGAAATAAAAAAATGTCGGAAATGCTATGCAAAATTCTGGAGATGAAATGCAGCGATTCAACAAGTAACTGTGAGGTCACAGATCAATTGCTTTATATATTAGCCTCAAAACTTTTTAGAACTGAGTTTAAAGTCTGAAGGAGATGCAATTTGATGAGCAGTGTTTACATATGCATTGTTGTCAGAAGAGTTCAAGCTTGAATTCTATTACTGCATTAAGATGCGACTTTTTGTACATGTTGAAAAAATAACACTATTAAGGAAAAAGTGATGAAATAGGTAAATCAAGCTATTCTGAATAGCTAAAGCAAGCTATTTAGCTATTCAAGCTATATAGCTAAATCAAGAGATTTTGCTTGACCTGATAGTATCAAGTACTGTATTAACATGATGAAGTAATGTCTTTATATTGCATATTTAATATACAGATTCTTAAAGAATGTCTAAGAAAGAAAGGTCTGGAAGATTCAATTTGAGGGCGTTATTAGTTCAATATAAACAGGTATGGGCATCTTTTATCTCAATATGTAAAAAAAAGAAAGAATAATTAATCCAAATGGTTTCTTATCAACGATAATAGTGAAACGATATGATTGAAGTGTATCATGATCTATTGTGATACACTGAGACTAGATCTCAATACCTGACACATGATATCACCTTTCATAATGTTTTTTTTATACAAATTGTGTCTTTTCATCCCCTACCCCCTTAAAAATATAATACTCATCAGATGCCAACTTCATTTTGTTTTCACCTGTTTCTTCCCTTTCTGAGTCTAGCATTGTATTCAGACAAGAAGATTAAGTTGTTGGTGCCTCAATTCTTGACAGCCCTTCCCCCCCCCCCCCCCCCCCCCCCAGTAAAGAAAGCAAAAAAAAAAGAATTTGATTCTGGCATTTTAAAACTACTGGTTACTCTAACATCATATGTTTGACCTCTAGCTAATCTCATTACACATTACCATTACTTTTGACCTCTAGCTAATCTCATTACACATTACCGTTACTTTGGACCTTTAGCTAATCTCATTACACATTACCATTACTTTGGACCTTTAGCTAATCTCATTACACATTACCATTACTTTGGACCTTAAGCTAATCTCATTACACATTACCATTACTTTGGACCTTTAGCTAATCTCATTACACATTACCATTACTTTGGACCTTTAGCTAATCTCATTACACATTACCATCACTTTGGACCTTTAGCTAATCTCATTACACATTACCATTACTTTGGACCTTTAGCTAATCTCATTACCCATTACCATTACTTTGGACCTTTAGCTAATCTCATTACACATTACCATTACTTTTGACCTCTAGCTAATCTCATTACACATTACCATTACTTTGGACCTTTAGCTAATCACATTACACATTACCATTACTTTGGACCTTTAGCTAATCTCATTACACATTACCATTACTTTTGACCTTTAGCTAATCACATTACACATTACCATTACTTTGGAACTTTAGCTGATCTCCTTACACATTACCATTACTTTTGACCTTTAGCTAATCACATTACACATTACCATTACTTTGGACCTTTAGCTAATCTCATTACACATTACATTACTTTGGACCTTTAGCTAATCTCATTACACATTACCATTACTTTGGACATGTAGCTAATCTCATTACACATTACCATTACTTTGGACCTTTAGCTAATCTCATTACACATTACCATTACTTTGGACCTTTAGCTAATCTCATTACACATTACCATTACTTTGGACCTTTAGCTAATCTCATTACACATTACCATTACTTTGGACCTTTAGCTTATCTCATTACACATTACCATTACTTTGGACCTTTAGCTTATCTCATTACACATTACCATTACTTTGGACCTTTAGCTAATCTCATTACACATTACCATTACTTTGGACCTTTAGCTAATCTCATTACACATTACCATCACTTTGGACCTTTAGCTAATCTCATTACACATTACTATCACTTTGGACCTTTAGCTAATCTCATTACACATTACCATTACTTTTGACCTTTAGCTAATCTCATTACACATTACCATTACTTTTGACCTTTAGCTAATCTCATTACACATTACCATTACTTTTGACCTTTACTTACATGGTTTAGCTAACTTGCACTACCTTGTTTCTGCCTCTTTTGAAGGTGTGAAAAAATTCTATATATTTTAACTCTGCCATTTTTTATTCACTGCCTTTCCTGTCAATTTCAGGGTTCACACAAAGACTATGATGAATTTGTCAACATTTTATCAGATCCACAAACAAAGGTATGATTTGCTTTTTCTTCTCTACAGTAAAACAGTGTATTGTTGCATAGTTTATTTTTTTTTTGTCAGCATGTTGTATCTCTTATTTGTTTGTAGGCTGAGGACCTGAGAGTGTACTTAAGAGGAATTAAAGAGAATGTGACAGAACTGAACAGAGAGTTTGAGGATTTAGTGGCAGTTCTTTTGGTATGTATCGTTTTTTTTCCGATTCTCAATATATCAATATGTAATATCTTTTGAAGATGTACAAGGCCAAATTTATTATTAAACATAAAAAAAATTGATGTTTGTTAATTTTCTCATTGTTCTCCTTTAGAAATTAGACTGGCCACATAGAGAGCTCTCGGTGGTGAGGGAATATCAGTCCCTTCTTGTGGGACTCGTCTGTGTTCACTCCTACTACCTCAGGGCCAGTCTCCGTATGCTCGTCAAGTACTTCACTCCTGCCATAAACAGTAAGTAGCTAGTGCATAGTAAGGATAGTCTTTTTTTTTAAATTCAGTGTACGACTTCAATAATTTACACATATGTGTATGAAACAGGTAATCTTATTTACCGGTGCTTATTTATTTTTTTCGTTTTTGCTAATTTGATAGCATCTTGCTTTTTTTGAAAGATGTTCCATAATTGTTTCCGAACATTAAGCAATTTTTACTTGTAAACATACTGAAAAATTCTTATGCTCTGTACTCTTGCTATATGTAATACTGAGTTAAACCTTGAATTCATTTTAGAGTCAGCCCCAGATACAGAAGTGAGTATGGAGATACAACAGACAAATGAGGCAGTATTTCTCAATATACACATGGTACTCAAAGCTATCCTGGATTCTGTTCCAATGTAAGTATTACTATGACAAGGTATGGTTTTAGAAGTAGTTAATTATTTTATCCCAAGAACCCATTAGTGGTTTGTAGAGCAGTACAATGTTTTATGTGAGTGGCAATGTCTGGGATGTCAGTGAGTGAAAAATATTTTGCCATTTTATTGTCATTTATTTGAATTAAACATGCAGGTTGTATGACAAAAGGATGGGATGGGTGCTGTGAAAAAATAAATGCTTTTGTAAATTAACCTTGTACTTTCCCTTTCCAGGTCATCGACAGTATTGTTGCCCCTACTACATGATTTGTTTCCATTCCTTGGGAAGGCTGCCTACATACAAGAATGCTACATCAGAAACCTCCTACAAATTACCACATACCTCCCTAGTGCCAGGCAGAGAATTCTGGAACTGGTCATAGACAGGATGCTTAAGTTAGATGTAAGTATGTCAAGGACAAAGTATACGAAAGTAATATAACAACTGAGTAACACAACTGGGCAGTTTGAAAAAAAGAAATCATGTTTTTTATAGTGGGTTGCTAATGGTTTGTATTTTTAGGTTCGGGCCCCACGACAGGACATCCAGGAAACTGAGGGAGATGAGGAGGACATGGAAGAGGGCATTGTGTTTGACATGGTGAGTGTCAAGGTCAGAGGTCAAGGACTATTCACAAAGAAGTACAGGACCATTCATTCAAAATGCTATATGTTATTCAGGCCATCTGAATTTCTAAAGTTGACAAAGATAAAATCAAAGAAATCTTTTGATCTTTTCACTTTACATTTAATTTGTTTTCAGGATTTTGAACAAGACTTAACCAGAGATCTGGAAAATAAAGATGGTTGCATCTTTGATAGGAAACGTTCAGATAAACCTATGACCCACAGAGAAGCCAATATACTTGATGTGTGCATGGAAATGACCTTGACATATATATCCAATGTCTGCTATACTAATGGTATGTAAATGCTAATGATTAGCAAGTATCAGTGTCATATGTACCAATATGAAAGTAATTAGGGTCCGGCAAGGATTTGTGGGTGCCCTATAGTAATCACTCTGTCTGTCTGTCTGTCTGTCTGTCTAGCTGTCTGTCCATCTGTCATTCTTCCATCCACAAATTTTCTGTTTTTTTCTAATAACTTTTTTTTTTTATAGTTCACCAATTAAGTTCAAATTTGGTATGTTGGTTGAATAGGCAGTAAGACATATTTTGATGCTAAGCTTTGTTCTCTATGTCATCCAGTTTGGAGCTGGGGTGGTGGGGTAGATTCCTTAACTTTACATTAGAATGAATGTCAGGGCAAAGAGAGATAACTGCTAAGAATGTTCCTATTGTAGAGCATGAAAGCTGCAACAAGTCCCCATGGGATTAATTAACTTTCCTCTTGAAGAAAATCCAAAGCATTATCTGTTTCTGTCAAATTGAGATTAATTTACACCTCTGTCTGCAAATGAAGTTTGTTTTGAAGTCAAGGTCAATTCTGAATGATGTTTACATTCTCTGAAATGTGGATTTAAATAATGTTCATACTTTATTTTGGTAAAATACACAATGAGTTATGATTTTATTGAATTCTAAAAACAAGATATACATAAAGATATCTCTTTTTTTGTTGCTTTTTTATATTTATTTGTTTATTTTATTTTATTTATTTATTTTTTTTTTTGGCTGCCTTATGTAAATTCAAGAATACTATTAATTTTAACAGACAGTCCGATATTAACCCCATTCTATCATTACTGAAATAGTTCTTATTGTAAACTTAGAAGAAAAGGATGAAGGAGCAGTACAATTAATCCCCTGGGATTAATTATCTTGCCTGGTGCGGAAAATTTTAGAGGCTTATCTTTATTTATCACTTTAAGATAAATTAACATCTTTGTCTGCAACTGATGTTTGTTTTGAGGTTAAGGCCAAGCCTGGGTGATATTTGCATTCACTGAAGGCTGGCATTTTATTAACACATGCTTTATTCTTGTTTAAATAAACATTTAATTGAGTTATTATAGATATGATGTTTTTACTGCCTTATGTAAATATAGGGATACTATTTACAGGTTGTTGGATATTTAGGAATTATCTTGAAATTTTATAAATACCTGGGTACAGTTATTGTTGCATATTCTTCATATATTTTTAAATTTTTGTAGTCAAGTAAAATTTTCATTCTGTAAGCTGCACCCTTATATTTCTACCCCTTGGTGGGGCCCTTGCTGACTGGTCAGTTTTCTAGTTTTTGTGGCAATAGGATTGTGGGAGTTGCGGTTAACAATAAAATGCTGATAGATGATGACATTTCAGAGATCATTTGATCTTGTATATTATTATACATGTAATGGTGTTTCACTGGGATTAACTCTTCAATGCTTTGATTGGAGTGAATCTGTTTTACAGGAGAGTGTAACTGGGAAGCCACAAAGAAGCTATACAGGGAGGTATTACTGGTGTTTGACCGCCTCATTCTTCCAACACACGCCTCCTGTCATGTCCAGTTTATCATGTTCTATCTCTGTAGCACAAAACTAGTAAGTCAAACAAATAATGGATTCCTTACTTCCTCCAAAAAAAAATGTTTTCATAATTATGAATTTTGTGCGCAGTTATGTGTCTCTGGAAGTTGTAATGAAAAGCAATAAAGCAACTACATCTGGGGCAATTGTCCACTGCTAAGTGGATTATTTTGTTCAGTATATGTGAAATAAATTCTTTTTTATACTCAGTATATACATGATAAGCAGCATCACAGGCTCTTGATTTTGGTTTGTGGGCTTCACCATAGAAAAGAAGATCACGATCATAACATGATCTTTACCTCTAAATTAAAACACAGAGGAGACCTAGATTTGTATATCTTTATGCTCAGAAACAGCATCTCTGTTTAATTTTCAAAGATTTTGCTTTTATAATTTTGCAACTACAGAGGAGGAATATGTTTGTCTATAAACAGTATACAGTTGGCTAGGAAGTTTTAACATCTCTTCTTTCAGCCAATCCATGAAGGTTTTATAGAACATGTTAGATGTATACAGCTACATGTAGATGTGTAGTGTAATGTTTATCATTTCAGTCAATCCTTGAAGGTTTTATAGAACATATTAGGCAGTATACACCTAGCTATGTAGTATAACTCTATCATTTCAGCCAATCCATGAAGGTTTTATAGAACATCTTAGGCAGATTACAGCTAGCTGTGTTGTGCAACTCTATCATTTCAGCCAGTCCTTGAAGGTTTTGTAGAACATGTTAGGCAGTATACAGCTGGCTGTGTAATGTAACCTTTATTTCATGTATTTCAGCCAATCTGTGAAGGTTTTATAGACTACTTGTGGAAGAAAGTACAGAACCCAAACACAGAGAGTGTGTTCCGACAGGCTGCAGTGGGCTACATGGGAAGTCTACTCTCCAGGGCCATGTTTGTACCTCTCAGGTATTATAAAAGCTCTGACTGGTTACTGTATACCTGTATATTATGAAAATTTGTGGATTAAGTGAAATTAAATGTGTTGAATTAAAGATAGAATTGGTAACAGTATCAGTAGAAATTGATGTCCTTTTTACGTAAAGCTTATTCTGATGCCCCTGTCTGTCTGTCTGTTTGTCTGCAAAAATTCTAACCTTGGCCATAATTTCTGAATGGTTGGTGCTAGAACTTTTATATTTCATTTGTGTCTTCCTTGTGACAAGACCTTTCTTTGGATATTAATGTATTTGACCTCATGACTTTGACCCACTTTAAAAAAACATTAACCTTGGCCTTGGGCTGCCATATTGGGGCATCAGTGTTTTATTAAAGCTGAACACGATTCGTAAAAGAAATTTGTCCGCCATATTTGATTGGACTCTTGCTATATCTGAGGGCCCCTACATATAGAGCTGCTCACTTAGTCACTATTCAGTGTAATCAATTGTCACCGGTGTAGAAGGACGTATGCTATATAGCACTTGGTAGCGACAAAAAAATAACTGTTTACTTCTAATGCAGGAGAGTAAGATACCAAAGGGACTTACAACAGTTGCACAGGTCAGTGCAGTATACAAACAAACACAAATACACGTAACTGCAATAAAATGTAAACAAAGGTATTGCAAGATAACCAGCACGAACACGGGTCGCCATTCCATGCCGATACCCTTGACAATAAAGCAGTCATGTGTAACAAATGCGAAGAGTATACCCCGGTGCTGATATCGTAGATAGTAATATAGAAAATGGTGTATGCCTATTTACGAGTCTTGTTCAGCTTTAACACATCTTGTTGAATTCAGCATTTTGTTAAATCCTAGTTCTGTTTATTTTCAGCACAGTAACAGCCTGTCTAGACCTTATGTGTGAATGGATACATCTGTATCTAGACAATACAAGTGAGGAGATTGTAAATGCAGATGTCAGTCATCATGGGCCATTCTACTCCGTCTGTCAGGCAGTCTTTTATGTGTTTGTTTTCAGAAACAAGGAAATCTTTGAATGGAAGAAAGGTAATATTTGAAGGTTGTTTATAATGATTTTTTTTCCCATACAGGTTTATCAGAAATTTAAATCATTTTGATCCTTAGACATCCAATTTAAGGACCCTCTATACACTGATGAAAGATGTTTTTTGGACTTTGAGAAAATTATATGGCATAAATGAGGATATTTTGAAAATAACTAATTCATTTTTAATATAGGGAGCATGCCTTTTTTATCCAGGAAAAATTTTCAAAGATAATGAAGTAATTATAAATAAAATTCGCTTTTGCTTACTCAAATGGAGAAAATACATGCAAATAAAGTTTCCACTACTCTATCTTGGTCTAATATAATGTTTAGAATACTTGGATTTATTTTGAATTATGCCATATAGTGCAGATTGCAATTTATTCTATTTTTATATCAAATGATGGGTCAGTCTAACTACATAAAAGTACCCTGAAATTATGGTGGAGTGTAGAGAGGGTCCTTAAGTAATTAAAGATAAAATCTTCTGGCTGCATTGTAATATGTGAATGATTGATTGGAGTCTGGTAGTAGAATCATCACATGAGGATGGAATGAAGCATGATATCTTAGAAAGAACAAACTTCTTTGCTATTTGTGATTGTTTATTATTTTAATTTCAGGTCATAAGTGGGCGGAAATTCTGAATTTCCAGCGAATTGTCACCTGTCGTTTAAATCCTCTCAGAGTTTGTTTACCAGTGATTGTCAAAATGTTCTCCTCCATTTCAAGGTATTTCAAAATCTCATTAAGGTCATCCTAATTTTTATTTTCTCACTCAGGAATATACTTATATTGTTTGATAAATAAGAGTCTATTTGTCATCTTTAGTGGCTACAATAATTGTATTGATATGTAACTTTTTATGCTTAGACCACTGTTAGTGAAGAAACGTGTATTTCAATCATTTTAACAAAAACTTGATCAAGTTTAAAACATTTATTTCAGAATGCATCAGCTGGCGTTTTGTGATACGATTATTGAGCGTAACAAGCGATGTATATTGCCGGTGACAAGTAATGGTATAGGGACCTCGTCTGTCCTCACTGAGCTGGACTCCTATTTCCCCTTTGACCCATATCTTTTAAATAGGTAACTTGTTAGCACTGTAAAATTAAGTTCTGACTTGTAAAAAAAAATTATTAAAAAACCAAGCAAATTCAGAGAATTGTGGTCCCACACTTTTGGGGTCTTATTGGTCTTAATGCAATGAACCAGTTTGCATAATTTAACTGTCTTGTCTGTTCATTGTGCTAAACAGAAGTTTTATATTTTTAAAGTAATAAGTTCTGGTGGAAACATTAAAACCAAATTATTTTTTTTAAAATAGGTCAAACTTCAAGCTCATAGTCTCTTCAGGTACAAAAGCTATGACCAATATTAAAATACCCCAGTATCTGAAATGTGGTCAAACTTTTATTTCAAAAGCAATAGTACATTCAGAAAAGTTTTGTCACAGTTATTACACACAAGAAACAAGAAATCCCTAAATTCTCTATTTCAAAACTTACATGTAATAATATAGTTAAAATTTTTGAAAAGAAAGTAATACTTCAAGGGCAAGGTCATGAGGTCAAAATCACAGTGTATTCCAAAATGTCTTCTCATAGGGGATGCACATGTGAAATATGAGAATTCTTTCTTCTCTCAAATTATTACTAATGTTAAAATTTTTGCAAAATAGGTCAAAGGTCAAGGTCATAAGGTCAAAAATCAAAATATATTTGAAAAGTTTGGTCATGGGTACTGCACATGTGAAACATAAAAGCCCTGTCTTCTCTCATTCAAAAGTTAACACCAAAGTTAAAAGTTCTGAAAAGTATGTCAAACTCAAAAGGTAAAAAATAAGGTCTTGTTACAGGTAATGCACTTGTGAAGTATGAAAGCCCTATCTTCTCTCATTCAAAAGTTATGACCAAGATTGAAGTTTTTGTGACTGACAGAAACAGACGGATGGACAGACAGACAAATGAGCTTAAATTTCCCTGCACTTTCAAAAGCAGGGGACAATAAAATCAAAGTTTAAAGACAAGAAATAATTGAGAAATGATTTTCTATTAATGTATATAATTATCTTTCTATCTTATATAAGATAAAGATTCCTTTATTTTTAACTGATCTCCTTGATAATTTTACTTTTTAGATGAGTTTGTGTATGATTTTATATATGATTTTCTGTGATTGTAGGTCAGGTCGCTTCATCATTCCTCTGTACAGAGAGTATAAGGGTTCTATAGAAGAGGACCAAGAACTCTCAGATGTAAGTCAGCATATATCTAAAAAAACTTATAAGAATTCCAGTAGTTTTGTCAAAATTATGTAAACACTGTTCTTTGTACAACAGAAACATAACCTTTGGTATTCAGGAAATATTGGCTTTAGAATCCATAGCATTGTGTTTAGATTGATGAAAATCTGTGTGGTACATGTACCTGACTGACCTATACCATTAATTTGATGGAGTACTCTTACAATTGTAAACATCTGGTTTTAGTGTCGCACGGGTTATTCAGGTTATATTTTATCTGAGTGCACATCATCTGTAAACTTTTTATCATGTACCCATAATCACTTTTCAGAAAAGAAAAGTTTTCTCCTTTTAAGGAAGCTCTTAACACTTATAACAATTTTTTTTGGACTTTGAGAAAATTGTAGATATGTATATAGGTGTACGTATTGAGTTTATCTTAGTGCTGTAGTTCATTTTTAATATAGGCTACCTGCCATATTTCTGAAATTCTCCAGGAAAAATGTTCAAAGACAATGAAGTACAAGTGAATATAAATCACTGTTATCTACTTACATCAGGAAAATACATTCAAATCATGTTTTAAGTTACTTTATCTAATATAATGTTAAGATTTAATCTATTTCAAAGCGTGTCATTTACTGCTGATAAGCAAGATTTTGAACCCTCAGCTAAAATTATGAAATTTATATATGTATCCTGTGGGTTAGGCTAAATGAATATTGAATGAAAATATGTTTAATTTATGAAATATCATCTTAACACACGATTGTCTAGATGACATTGAAAGCTCACACTTAACAAAGAGGTTAGGCATCTGATACAAGGACATATTGACAAAGTCAAGGACTGGGGAGATGTTTGTTAAAAGAGGAAAATGAGGATTTTATTAGTAACATTAAGATGTCCTTTGTAATCTGAGTACAAGTTGCTGCTTCTTCTTCTTCTGCCAAGTATTGCCCACAATCAACAAGCTGATTATTATGGCATGTATCATACTCAGGTGATTGTCACGATTCAATTGTAGTAATGTGTTGATGCTTTTATTTCCCAGGGTGAAGATGATTTTCTCCAAGAGGAACAACTATCCTCCACATCTGAATCACTACCCCAAAGTATGTCTCTCAGTAAAACTCCCAAAGACTTCCTTCATTATGGCATTTCTCCAGGCTTCAAGCATATTCAGGACATCACCTGAACGTTTGAGTGAATGACATCTCAGTGTGCAATACTACATGTCATTAAATGACACAGATTGAAATATGCTACTTCTGGTCGCCATTTTTAAGCTGATTTTTTTCCATTGTTGGGTGAAAATCTGGTTGTCGTGACTTCTCCCAGTCATGACCAGAAGTCATGAGTTTCATTAAGCTTCAACATTATAAAGTAATTTAAGTACTGTTTCAGATTTGTGTTTCTTTTTACAAATGTTGTATGTATATACATGTACATATAGGTACTTATTTTTAAAAAGTATAAATAAAGTCTGTTAGGGAAAAGTTTTTTAATTGGGTTGAATATTTGCCCGGTTGTTGTGACAGTCATGAGTTTCATTATCCTTCTGTGTTACAGAGAGGTCAGTACGTTATTTACAGAGAGGTATGCTCTCTGTAGTGCTTTGTTCTTTGATCTGTTCATTCCCGAGTGAATTACCCTCGTAAGAACACATTACTATAGATTCCTAAATATACGCGAGGAATAAATTATCGCGGAATTACGCGAGAAGCACCGCTCGCGAAATAAAATTACTCGCTTTTATTTTTATGGTGCTTTAATGTATGTAAAATCTCTAAATAAATCAACCATTCGCGGATTATTATTCTCGCGATTTGACGCCCTTGGCTCATTTCGCAATAATAAGTACTCGTGTAAAATAAGGAATCTACAGTATATTATTCTCACATATCACATACTGTAAAATCAATTTTCGGATGTTAAATTATCATGATTTGAGCAAAAAATATTGGTTCAAGGGACTTGATTTCATGGTTGAAGAAGAAACATGATATATTAGTTTAAAGTTTTAGCATTTCGTAGAGGACATGAATTTGTGGGTATGTTTATACATGTACCATGAAAACAAGGAAAAATCCCCCCCCCCCTTTCCTTTAAAAAAAGGGAATTTCACAGTAGATATATTCATTTTCATGAGATTTTGCATTTATACACATTGGTACTTTAATGTTTTATTCATTACATGTATTAAAAAGAAGAGTATATTTTGGTTATTTTCCTTACAGTCTTGGAACCAATTTGTATATGATGCATAGCTGTTTTGTTGAAAATAAAAATTACTGCTGGATAATATTTTGTTGTTCATTTGACTATCAAAACACAAAGTTTAAGATTGATCACAGTTCATTATCTTCCACCTTTTTCATTAAATTAAGCTGTCAGACTTGCATTTGACCTCATTCAGATGTGAAAGACTAGTAATTCCTTCTGTATTACATAAAATATAGATTCAGCTTGATAAGAAACCTGGTCTGTCTATCTTTTATGTATTTGTCATTCTGACCTTCCCCAGTACCACTGGACCAATAATAGAAACAAGAGAAAAAGCACAAAAGGATGAAGGGGATTACCCCTATACTCAAATGAAGGGTAAAAATTTTCTATCAAAGGGAGATAATTCTTAAATATTTTACGTACATATCTGTAAAACTTGATCCATTCATGGGCTTACTACCAATGGGGTAGTTAAATTATAGTTTTGAACAATATTTAAATTGGTCATTTGAAGTTTTAAAGAACCACTGCATGCAATATATAATGTAATGATCTAAGAAATCTTGGGTCTTGTCTAAGAAAAATACGGATTTTTCACAATATCAATCCACAATTTTAAAATGATTCTTCCTTGCTGTAATCTCTTCAGTGAATTTTATCTGAATCTTTTGGTAATTTTCAGTGAGAACTTCATACAATTTAAAATTGTAAAGGAAAAAATAAGTGGGGTCATGCTCATTGATTCAATTCTCAAGATATAGAGTAGAGTTGATCCTCCTTGTAGGAGCTTTTCAAAAACTTGAAAATCTTTTCTCAAGTTCTTACGGTCAGATAAACACTGGTTAAGGAAAAAAAACCCAAACTTTTTAACACTGATACAACAAGGTAAATATGACACTGTAAAGTTTCCTCTTTTATTTTATTTTTATTTTCACACATAAAAGGTGGAAAATTTTAAAAAACAAAGATACTGCAGAAAAGATTTTTGGAAAAATATTTGTATGCCTCCACAATCTAAGATAATTTTTGGTCTGTCCATCTGTGTGTTTGTCCTCAAAAACTTTAACCTTGGCCATAACTTTTGAGCAGTTGGTGCTAGGACTTACGTATTCCTAGTGACAAGACCTTTCTTTGGGTAACAATATATTTGACCTCATGACCTTGACATTTGACCTTTTGTAAAATTTTAACCTTGGTCATAACTTTTGAACAGTTGATGCTAGGGCTTTTAGAATTTCACATGCATAATCCTGGTGATAAGACGTTTCTTTGGGTAACATTTTTGACCTTGACATTGGAGTTTGACTTTCTTTTGTAAACTTCAACTTTGGCCATAACTTTTGAACAGTTGGTGCCAGGGCTTTCATATTTCACAGGTGTATTCCTTGAGACAAGATCTTTTTGGGACCAACATTTCTGACATGGACCTTGGAGTCTGACATACTTTTGTAAAACTCAACCTTCACCATAATTTTTGAATGGTTGGTACTAGGGCTTTCATATATCACTTGTATTATATATTCCTTGCAGCAAGACCCTCCTTTGGGTACCAACATTTTTTGACCCCATGACCTTGACATCTGACCTGCTTTTGAAAAATCTACTACATGCACACATCAGTGTCTCTTAAACACCATTTTCTTTTCTGGCCCTGGACATATGAACATATCTGTGAAAATGTCTACAGTTTTGCACTTTTCCATATAACAGTATTTCTTTTCACCATATGATGCCACATAACAAACTTCACACAAGAGTAGGAAATGGTAAAGACTATACATTGTTGGACTAAATAGTTTATAGGTGTATAAGATTTTAATTGTATGAAGGCAAGATAAATGTTGTGGGTTTCACAGGCACCACAAAGTCCAAAAAGATAATGTACACTGGTATTTACAGATGACATACATGTATATAATCAAACAGGAATTTTGATTTATATAATGAAAAGTTCACACACATATTTTTCTATTGAATGTAGTCATTGTCTCAATGATATTATATAACTGTAAAATAATAGAAAAATAAAAAAGAAACCCATACAGTATATCTTTCTATGCTGAAAATTCTATTCCACATGAAAGCAATTGTGATTTTCATCTTCATTTATTATTTTTCTTCTAGTAATTTCTTGGATGTAATAAAATATTGTTCAAAATTCCATTAAATGGTGAAGTTACTATTCTTATACAAATGAATGACTTTCTAAAAGTCTAAAAAAAATTATTTATTACAACATTTCTCATTTTGATTATAACAGGTAAACACAATCAAAGAATGCTATCTTATATCAACACTTTTACACTGAATCTACATTCTCCCAAAAAATAAAATACCCATTCAGGCATTCACTTATGATGGCAACTTTTATATCTGTAACAACTGACACAAAGTTAGAGTTGCCAATGTATGACAGTGGAGAAAAAAAAAATCATTAATAGATCATTTTGTTTGTTAACTCTCTTTTTTCCTGGCAGTAAAGTGTATCACATCAACTTAACAGCAGGTGCCCCTCCTCATTTACTATTAAAGTAAACCTCTTTTGTGAGCATGGAGGTGATGCACGGAATCTGTTTCTTCTCATTCATGTCAGGGTGGGACGTGTTGGACTGGAATTTGTTTGCGACGATTTGATTGACCCGGGTCATCATGGTCAGAAGGTCTAAGGTCTGGCCGTATTTCATGAGAACCTCAGACAGAGCCTGTACAAACCAGGAACCATTGGACGAGTTTCTCCATGAATAGTAACCTATAGAAAAAGGACAATTGATTTAGTAACACAATCCTCAGGACAATTTACAGTCAAACCACATTATCTCAAACTTGATAGAACCAAGAAAAAACTTTGAGATCTGAGGATTTGAGATATCCAGGATAAAATACTTAAAGAATATGTGGTCTGAGGATTTGAGATATCCAGCATAAAATACTTAAAGTATATGTGGTTGGGACTTCCAAATAACTTGGACATATCCATGGTATTTGAGATATCAGTGTTTGAGATACCGTATATACTCGCCTACAAGTCGGTCCGCCTATAAGTCAGTTGTATTTTTGAAGCTTAAATTAGAGGGATTGACCTTCTAAAATACCAGTCTTTTTATAACTCGCCTATAAGTCGGACATAGAGTTTTGGACCAAAGTTTAACTCCCAAAAATCCGACTTATAGGCGAGTATATACGGTACCAAAGTTCAATTGTATTATGAAAGAAATAAACAAATCAAATCCATCATATCAATGAGTCATTCAGTGACTCAGGTGACCTTAAAAAAATCTCATTCAACTGAAACTAAGTACAGGATGAAGCTATTTTGTTTTCTGTGTGATTAGAATGACACTCTGTCATTGGATAATAGATGTCATGTGCCTGTCATCTATGTCTCTTTGGATGGGGAGTAGAAAGAATTTGGAGGACAATATGGCGGATAAAATGTTGTCATCCAAATCATAAAAAAATCATGTTGGCATTCTGTGCATAAAACCAATAAATTGATTTGGAAATGCTGTGATTTAATCTAGAGTAGCGCCCCATTTCAGTGACATAATCATTGAACAGCAAAATGATGAATTAAGGAGATTTGCCTGGATGAGAAATACCTTTAGTTGTAATTAATCTTGGAAATTCTTTTAACTGTTATTGGTCCTCAACAAAACAAAACACTTAATATATAGTTTGTAATTCACTGTCCACAAAAATATGTTGAGTTGTTCTTCACCTCGCCTTCCATGGACTTGAACAACCCAACTATTTCTGTGAACAGTCATTAACAAACCTAAGAAGTAATATAGTTTGCTGCAAGGATTAATTTGTAAGTGTATTATCAAGGCATATATTTTTCAAGTTCAACTTTGCATTCTATGTGATATTTATTGAGTAACAGAAAAGTTTTTATTGGGTTAAGATTTTGTTTAAGATTCTCTGCTTAAATATTAGGATCTCTACTACACACCAAGAGACCCTAGTCTGATGTACATGTATATATTTTACTGTTGTGAAGTTTTACCTGAGTCATTCAAAATTTTAACACCTCAAGCAAGCACACCTGACTGAAATTAATTCATTTCCTGAAATGTAAGTCTTGTGTCTCCTCATATTTATGTCTACATATTGTTGAGATTTTGAAATTCAAGAAAAAAAATCATGTATATTTCAGGATAAAAAATGTGTTAAATACCTGAAATACAATTGACAAGCTAGAACTAATCAAAGCTGTCCAGACATATTGGTTCTACTTTAACTCACCTGGGACGACTGAGTAAGCCAAGAGAAAGTCTGCCTCTGATGGGATTTTCTGGAGAGAGAACTGTGGCTCAATATCCATGAATCCTTTAGCATCAGCAACGTTCATGTCCACACCTTCATCAAACTTAGTGCCACGGCAAGCCTGTGTAAAAATAAATTTATACATATTGTGTAATAAACAATCTTAATTAAGACCTGTAACATCACCATAAAAAAAAATTGAAACTGATTCAATCAACAATTCTTTAGAACTAAAAGTATTTCATTGCATATGATAAATTGTTTTTCTTTTAATTTTTCAAAATTTGAGTTATACACTGGTTAAATTGTTGAAATTCCTTGAATGTATTCTTACCTCTCACAAAATGATACATAGAAGGTACATCATTACAGTATTAAATGGTTTACGACACAGTCCAAGAAACTAACAAACTGTATCTACCTGAATGAAAAAGATTTTGGGTTTGCCTGCCAGAGAGAGACATTTATTCCCCTTGAATGGCTCCAGGAGGTCATTGATTGGAATCAGTCTGTCTATTCCCCAAATCAAACCATCCTCCCCGTGGGACAGAATAGCACAAGCGAAACAGTCATTGTTCCTATGGTCATCAGCAGCAGCTGTTACAATGTAAAGGGAAGTATTTAAAAACAGTGGTGGATAAATTTTTATACCGTATAAGCAGAATTATTAGAGAGGATTCAATTTTGGCATTATTAGTGAGTGTTTTGAGATCGCTAAAATTGTATATCGCTGACAATTTATTCTGTATCGGTTGTTGTAGCTATCTTTCTTGACATTATAAAATCGAGAGAACTGTTAAGTTATTTTACCTTTTTTTAACTGAGATAAAATTTCATCTGCTTTGAGATTGTGAAACAGATCTACTTCAAAGTCGAGCTCGGAAAGCCTACAGCAGAGAGCAGAGGCGTCAACGTCAGTTCCATTTCGGTCATTCAGGCCAGTGTTCGGGTTGAACTTCTTGTTATTGATGATAATGGCTTTGCCTCTGTTATCATAGTCCATCTTGTACTTTGATGAGAAAAACTCTGAGGCTGTCTGTATTGTAGTGGCTACTGGTTTAGTACTGTACATAAAGAAGTCATAAAAATATTAATTAAAGAGGTCAAATGTCATTAACAGAGACGTTTTTACAGTGTCATGAAAATGTTTACAAAATCTCTAGAATTTCTAAATTATCCTACTATCAAAAACACTTTTACATTACCGTATATACTCGCCTATAAGTCGGTTGTAATTTTTAAGCTTACATTAAAGGGGTTGACCCTCTATAATACCAATATTTCTATAACTCGCCTATAAGTCGGACAAGGGTTTTTGGACCAAAGTTTAACTCCCAAAAATCCGACTTATAGGCGAGTATATACGGTATATCTATTATGTGTAGCCAAGAATTTTCTTAAAATGTTTATTCTGTTTCAAAGAAAATGCCATCATTTCAGTGGTTTCATAATTTTGTGAAACATTAAATTTTTATAATTGGCATTCTTTTCTTCCCTAAAATTGCAATAATTATTATATTTCTTTTTCATTATGATACACATAAATATTCACCTGTGTGAAGCGGATTTTCCAAATCCAAAAGCGTCAGTCTCTGAGATAGGCTTAGCATCAGAAACATCTACATCTGTACAGTGTAAAAAAGAACTTCAATGTTGTTTTGAAAAAAATAAATATTAAATAAATTTAATATTAAAAGGTATTTGCCTTTGAAACAATGGTCTATAAAATACATATATCTGCAAGCAACTTTGTTTATTTTATAACAATTTACACTGCGTTTACGTGACAAAGTTACGTGATCTCTAGCTCTCAGTGGACATCAGTTTACCATGTTGACGTCACAATTAACAAGTTACTTTTTCCAGTCTCAATTAAGCCCCGCCTTCTTATATATAACTTTAACTGAGCTGCATTTTGAATATTCATGATTTTATCTGGAACATATCAGTACTTTTCATATGATTAAAAGAAATTGTTAGGTGTTCCAAATAGATGTGTATCAGTTCATCAAACTGACACACCTTTAGTGCAGGGAATCAGGGGTCTGTTTTACAAAAGAACTTACGACTAAGACCAAACACTTCAATTGTTTGTGAAATGTTACAAATTCAATCATTCTGTTTAAAATTGCTAGCGTAAAAGTATCTTTCTACATTACTTTTTAAAAGATTAAAACCATATTTAATGTAAATTAGAAAGTTATAAGCGGTATTAAATTTTGGTCTTAGTCATAAGTCCTTTTGTAAAATGGACCCCTGTCTATTTTCCGGTGATTTTCAGGAAATCAGCAAAATATATCGATTTACTCTTATATAGTGAAAAATCAGTATATAGGTGTAGTACCTCTTTTTTAAACGTGGTTTTTCTTGACTGAAAGTGTCAGAATCTTTATTTTAACAACTTTAAAGTGTACTTAAAGTAGATTCAAATTTTTTTTCAATTTATTTTACATCTAACAATCCGGAAGACAAGCCCCTATGCTATATAGGTACAGTACTGTAATTATTTAATATAATCTACTTTTTTCTAAATGGTATTATTTGTGTCTTAGAGAATGACCTATCTAAACTCCTGATGATATAGCAATTCAAATATTATTGCTCTTAAACTGAGGTATCGGATGTGTTTCGAATTTTCTCCAATGAAAACAATAAATGACGTCAAAAGCATAGTCATACATACTTAATCATCATATATTCACACATTGAACAGTGGTTGATTGTTTATTACAAACCTTGTCGGCTTTCTGTATTCATGTTTTCTTCCATGGCTCCTGATAAACTGAAAACTTTTGGCAGTAAAATTGTTTGCTTTCGCTTTGTTCGAACGATTATTCACTTTCGGATTACACCAGTTTCTATAAATAGATCAGTTTCTATAAATAAGAAAAATTCTAGCAACTCGTACGTAATATTAGTCATGTAATTACTCAGATTTTGAAATGACATTATTTTATCGTATATTATTTAAATCAAAAGGCGAAAAATAAATATATATTAATTTACTGTTCAATAAAAGTTGCGCTCAATTTCATTCAGGGCATTTATGTATTTCTTTCTAGGTACGACTACTCGACATAGCTCAGTGACGATCTCCTATGTAAAAGTTGACAACTACTGCATCTTTAAAACAAGGCCAAAAGTGTCGTGTTAGGATATGCCGTCAATCAATAAGACATGATGACTATGTATAATAATCCTCTTAGAATTTTATCTATAGGCATACTTACCGGATATTAATTTTTGTTTCCCCTTTTGAAAGGAGGGGGCGGGGGGGGATTTATTTAATATAACGATAGCCCTTCACTGTATTATGATGCTGAAGGAGTAAAGGTATAGGGCCTACCTTTGAAAGTGGGTAGTTTTGATGAATACCATTTTGTTTTAGTTGATTTGGGCTTTTTCTGGAGTTATCCTAAGATTATGAACCTTGCAGTTCAGATCAAATCAAATCTATAAATAGGGAGGGGATATTTCTTATCCTACTAAATACCTTATATCCTATTCAGCATTAAATCATTGGCATGCCTCACATGGGCTTATATTTTAGTAAAATGAATAAATAGAATTTTAGAATTATTTCTTTGAAGAAAGGTAAACATTTTCACTGTTTTACAAGTAAAATAAATTTAAATCCCCAGTTTTATGTAACTCAGATTCCTTGGAAAGATTTTATTCAATACCTTCAAAATATATGTTTTACCTGTACATATTTATGGAGTCTATTACCTGCATGAATAGTTATGATTTCCTTTATTTTTTATTACTTTGATGTGATCTAATGATCAGGAAAACATGGTTTTCATCCTTTCTTTATAGAATCTTGGCAGTGCCATTTAAAGAGACCATCTCCCAATGATTTGTTCAGTCTGTGTTCAAAGGTATTGACAGTGCATTGCTTGATTTCATGGCACCAGAGATTTAAACTTTTAAATTTGAATGCATGATAGAATACTATTATATATCTATCAATAGATTCTACTGTACATGAAAATCACAAAGAGAAAATTTCTTTACTTCATAGTTTGCTAACCTATATTATACAATAATTTATATTTGGTAGATGCCTTTAATATGGAAATAAGATGACTTGTAGCATTCCTTCAGAGAATTGATCAGGAATGGAAATACTGTTTATCTAAGGGTAAGATGAAAGTGTAGGAAATTTAGTTTCATAGTTATACTTAATTTGATGTTTTAAATGTATAAAAATATAAACTTTTTTTATATGATTTGTTTAATTTTTTTTTCATATTTATTTGCAATGGAATTAGGGAATTGTAGTTAGAAAATTTTTAGTACACCATTGACCAGTCCTCAAAGATATCATCTTTTTGGAATTTAATTTTCTATTTTTCTGAACAACTTTTAATGATTAGAGATGTCTTTTTAGGGTTTTATTAAATCTCACTAACAAAATATAAGGCACACATATTTCTCTGCTATCAGGTACATGTTTGGTTATCAGTTTTATTATTTATGGGTTTTTCTGTGACAATGGATTTTTTGGGCTCTTTAAATGGTTTGTGTTGGATGTCAACATGGCTTTAAATTTGAAATTTGATGACAAAAATCTCTAAAGATTGTAAAGGTCTATTTCTTGTATGTGGAATTTATTATTGGAGATGAAAGCTTGCACATAGAGAAAACATTTATTAAAGTGATTAAAAGGAACATTAAGATAGGAGGGGGTATATCAAGACTCGAATCTATATCAGTTGTGTGATAATTGGAAAAAGGAATTAAGATTTACAAAACCTTTTACCCTGCCTGAAATCTTATACATGTGCTTTGTTAAAATATTTTGAGGTTCAAAGATTTTTGAAAATTACTTAACAGTTATGCACCAGATAGAGTAAAAGAAAATTGTAAGTTTTATTCTTGTTACAAAGTCATAATTACAATGTAACAGAATGATAAAACATGTTTAGTTTCATAATCAAGTTTGTTATTGGGACTTTATTTCAGTAATAACACAAGACATGGAATCACTGACTTCCCATCTTCCTAAGGTGGATGACAAGGCTTTAGAATTCCAAGTGGACATTCAGGATGCACAGTTTAACCATGAGGGTCGATACTTCCTTAGGCTCTCCATCCAGAGCCTACACACCAAGGACTACAGTGGGGTACAGGTACAGAAAGGTTACGGTGCTCCGTACACAAATGAGAACGAGGCTGAAACTGACGTGGTAACACAGCAGGAGTCTGCAGTGCTGTCCAGATTTCAGGACAAACAATTTACCTTCCGGCTCCCTGTTGGTAAGTTTCAGGAGGTGTCATTTCTGTACAAGTAGAGAACCGTGTTTAACTTTTTGTTACTTTATTTAGTTATGTTTTACATTGATAACAAATTAATTGATTCATTCGTACTGTAAATCATTTTTTATTCAGGAGAACTTTATTTTCGCGAAATTATGCAAGACTGTCTGCTTGTGAAAATTTCATTCTTGCTTATAATTCTACTCTTAAAGATTATATAGAGCAGTAACCAAATTTCATGAAAAATTTGTTTTCATTATATTAAATAAAAATTAAAGGACAGTCTCACAAAAATAAGGTTTAACAAAATTTGAGTGATCTGCAGTATTTTTCAAGTAAAATGTCAATACAAAGATACATGTTTGAAATAGAATTTGATATTGTTCTATGGTCATTAACAATAGTGCTGGTTTAATTTCACTCTTTGCATAATATTTACATAGCTTTTGGATAAATATCACCAATTGCAATGTTAACTTTGGTATGAAACTATATTGTTACAATGCAATCCTTAAAAAAAGCTAAAAGCCTAATAATTAGGAATGGCAATGAATATTCGAATATTCATTCGATGAGTTGATATTCGAATATGAATTTAAGATTCGAATATTCGGTGTTTTTCAGATTTCATAAAAAGAAGTACTGTGATTAATAAGTTTTGATTAGAACAGTGCTGGAATTATCCCTGTTTAATTTACTAGCGATCAATTTTGATTGCCTGATTTCATTCAATACTTTCTTATCTTATAGGTATACTAAATTACATTTATTTTGTTTTGAGTAAGGTGTTAAAGAATTGTACAAAAATGCTTTATGTATAATACAAAACGTACTTTCATCGTTTTTTATTAGTTAGATACTATCGAATCTAGAATCGAGGACAACAAAATGAAAACCTTCTTAGAATGTCTAAAAGACGCGAAGAGTATACTTTTCAAAATAAATTTAATTGATCATTGAAGGAATGTCCGATAGAATTAGTCTGTAATTAATATTGCTCTATTTCAGAATAATTGTGTAAATTACTTGATTATCTCCGGTTGTACATAATCCTAAATTTTATATTCATTATCGGGAAATTAGTTAATTACTTAGGAAAATTGTCTATGGAAATATTTGTTTATATATTTTAAAAACATTGTATCAAAGATTATAATCATATCAGATTCTCTTATTAGGCAGATAATTGTATATTACACGTATTGAAATCTGAACAGTAGAGCCGTTACAACTATATCTTGGCTTTGGTAAGACGACTGGTTCCTCAGTTGGAGCTACTAATAAATACACATGTTTCATTTGTTAAGATTATACTTTTCTACATTGAAATCAATTATATATTGACAAATATCAAATGGAATTTCTTATTGTACACCTACAAAAGTCTTCATACAATTTTACTTCCAATATAAGTATACTTACGCTAAACCTTTCATGAGAGTAGGATGATGCATATATAAATTAAACAAATTTTATTTATTTTATCGAACATTCGAATATATTCGAATACTTTCATTGAATATTCGAATATGAATTATTGACGAAATTGACATCCCTACTAATAATGTCTTTTGACTTCTTTTCTTGAACAGGATTTTGTAAGAATGACAAGAATCATGATCTGTATTTACTTGTGGAGGCCTTCAACCTTCCAAACAATGGTGGCATGGGGAAGAAAGTCGGAGAGGGAAAGTTTGCTATCTACCCTCGGCCGAATGCCCCGAAAATCAAAGCCAATGTGGAGCCTGGTGAAGATTTCTACAACTACACCGATGTATTGTCACTCTTAAGGACAGTCAGTACAGACAGTGTTCAGATGCATTGTGGGAGAATACGGAGTGTTTATGCATTGCGAGAAGTGGTTGCTCCCAAACCAAAATCACCACTTAAAACACCACCTAAAAAAATAAAAAAGAAACAAACTCCACCACCCTCCAGCCGACCAGTCCCAAAACCAAAACCACCCCCCTCACCAACGAGCTCCTGGGGTGGGGACAACATATCCATTTTGCTTCCCTCCTCCCCACCCTACCCACCTCTGTCTGACAACAAAAGGGTAAGGGACTAAACTCTTCTATAGAAAAGGGATAAAGATTTAAAGCCCTAAATTTGAAATGTGACTGAATATTTGTTTTTGGTTGATTTGTTAATTTATTGTTATTTTTCAGGTTAAGGAGGATCCTCTTGAGGACAAGGACAGACACACCTACCACACCGAGTCCTCGTACAGACACGTGTCAAAGCTGGGGGAGGAACAGATCGATGTCATCTTCCACGGAGCCTCAAGTCTCCCCAACACAGAATCTGGCACAACGCCTCAAGCTTTTATCATCTTGTAAGTGAATTGCTTGATGCATGATTTTCATCTTAACTGTACACAAAAAATTTTTGCTTTCTTTGTAGTATTTCACACACAAACATGGCCCAAAATCTAAAAAAAATCAAATAATTATTTTTAGGAAGAAATCGGATGAGGATCAGAAAGGTTCTGTGACCCACACTTCTCTGAGACCTACAAGTTCCCCATCTTGGGAGGAGATGATCAAAACTACCCTGGACTCATCAGAGGCAGGGGATGAATGTAA